CGCCAAAGCTTTCGTCTCCAGCTGGGTGTCACGTTTTGGCTGCCCGGAAACAATCATTACGGACAGAGGTCAGCAATTTCAGTCACATCTTTTTCAAAGCCTGACAAAACTCATTGGCTCAGAACACCGCCCCACCACGTCATACCATCCACAGTGCAATGGAATGGTGGAGAGGCTTCATCGCCAACTAAAAGCAGCAATCACATGTCACAACACACCTCAATGGACTGAAGCACTTCCATTAGTGCTCTTGGGAATGCGTGCAACGTGGAAAGAAGACCTAACCGCGTCGGCAGCAGAAATTGTATATAGTGAACCTATTAGACTACCAGGAGAATTCTTCATGCCAGCAACGAAGCTTACCTCAGATCCGTCAGATTACGTTGAACGCCTGCGTAGACATACTATCGATTTGGCTCCAGTACCAGCGTCAAACCATAATAAAAATAAATCATTTTACTTACCTAAAGACATCTGGACATCCAAATTCATATTTCTGCGCCGTGGCCCAGAGAAATGACCGCTACAATCGCCATATACAGGACCATACAAAGTCGTGGATCGAGGCACTAAAACATTTAAAATACTAATACAAGGTAAAGAAACCACTGTTACAGTAGACAGAATTAAACCAGCATACCTGGCGACAGACGACATCCTCGACGATAAGAAGGATCAGGCTCCAGTGATGACTAACTTACCTGAACACCCGCGCCCCTTACAGCCATCAACAGAAAATATGACGCGAAGTGGGAGAACTGTCCGATTCCCGGACTACTACCGACCGTAAACCGGTCTCGGTAGGGGAGTGATGTGGCGCACCACCTGCAACAATACTAAATACACAATAATATACAATTGAATAACACATTAATAAATACACAAACAAATTTCAATTCACACAAATACACTCATCACACATTATATATTACATTTTTATTATTTATTAATATTACATAAAGTTTACTTACCTATCTCTTCACGAGAAGTATCCCGCGGCGCCGGAGCATAGCAATAGGCGAGCCGCTCTTTAGTAACGCGTCAACTTCCCTACGTTAAACCTGTGTCGCTCGCTGCTAGTTACTGACTACGTAATATTTCGTGCCGAACTTAATTAGTGTTAATTATCAGTCACAAATTTGTAAGGAATTGTGTCCGTAATAAATAAATTCATAAAGTGATTACGAACATTTATTTATTTGTGAAGGGATCTAAATTACATATAGGTGTATATAAGATAGCGGACCATCATCTATACCTGGTCTTTTCCCTAAGTTCTTTTCCAGACCTCCGGAACTCCAGACCTACAATTGTTTTGATGCTTTTAGGAACCTTAGGTAGCAACGTTTCCAAATTCCCCCTTAGGCTATCTCTGTAGATATCCCAGGAGGTCGCTTTTGGATCCCTAAAAGTAACGGTTTCATAGGTACGTGATGCTCCAATCACAAACTTAACGTGCTTGTGATCATACATCGAGTTTTCGCTACTAACATGCCAATCATTTATCCGCCTGGAATGTTATTGGTAGCAAAGGTTATGTCTAACTTCTTGCCTAGCTCGCATTACAAAGGTTGTTGTACAACCTAAGTTTAGGCTTACCAGGCCATTTGAGATGAAAAAATCATATAGTAACTCACCTCTTTCGTTGATGTTGGTGCTTCCCCAGGCTGTGTGGTGAGCATTAGCATCACAACCCACCACAATTTCGGCGTTGTGTTTTCGGGCGAACTCCGTCACTCGCTCTAACTCGATGGTAGGATCTGCGTTCTCTCCGGGAAGATAGGCTGAGCAAATGATTACTCAGGCCCCTGTGCATCCCTTGAGATTTATGAAGGCTGTAACCAGGTCATCATTGCAGTACTCTGGAACAGCTAAAATTTCAATATTTTTATTACAAATTATACAAGCTCTGGGTCTACTGCCTTTAGTATTGACAAGAATCTTACCGGCAACCGCCAATCCCAGAACTTTACCTTTGGCCACCCAAGGCTCTTGTATAAAGGCGAGGTTAATGTTGTCCTCTGCAAAGCAAAACTCCATCACGGCAGAAGCAGCTACTGCATGGTGAAGATTTGTTTGGAGGACCCTCGTCTTACCCTTGGGTTTAGCTATTTATGGGCGTGGGGGGCAGGGGTCTTTTCCGCCTGTTGAGGACGAGGACGTCTTTTACCTGTGCACTTGATCCCCACCTTACCTTTTGTCAAACCGCTCCAACCCCCACCAATGGCGTTCCAGCCTCACCCTGAAAGGTGGAGGGTTGGGAGGATTGGAGTTGGGGCGGTTCGGGTTCAATTGCCGCGTTAGATCCTCCCCTGACTTTAAAAGTTATTATAATCTTAAAGCCAAGGACGATTCTGCCGCCTGCCTTCTGAAGAGCCTCTGCCGATGGGTCGTCCAGAGAAAAGGTTACTAAGAACCCATTCTCCTCGTCCCTACGGTGGAGGATTCTCCAGAGCTCAGAACCGAGCCCTTCATTTCGTGCTCTCAACAGCACAGCCGCCTCCTCTGGAGAGTCGGCTTCGCTGCGGGACAGTAGGTAATGCCCAGCTGAGGCTTAGGCAGTTCGCCCTGAGAGCTCTGCCTTCGGCTAGGGCTTCAGTTTTCCGATTTCACCCACAATCCTGTCCTGGCTTGCCTTATTCAGGCACGTTGCCAGAATCTAATCCGGCTTGTGGATGAAACCCGAAAACTTTGGATCCATTCCCGGTTGTGCCCCACAGGCCGTCTTAGCGATGGCCTGTGTTAGTGCCCAGTGGACCAGCCGCTTCCAATCAAAGAGATTTTTCAGTGTCTTTTCCAAAATGTCGGTTTACGTCCATTTTGTTCCCACAATTAGTTAGGGAAATACTCGATCATCCCCGGCAGAGCCCCGCATGCCGAGGGAAGGGCTAAAATACTACCCGATTCACCCCGGTCTCCGGTAGGCACCGTTTGCAACTGGACTACCTCCAGCCACGCATCCATCGGCACGGTACACTTGACACCTTGGATTGGGTTAGGATAGGAAAACGGGGTGGGATAAAAGAAAAGAAAAAGAAGATCGTCCGAGTGTTTCTGTTCTGTCTGTTTCCTGTTGGACCAGACCAAATAACAGGCGGCAACCACGTGAAGGAGAACTCCTCAGACTTGCCCTGGGGATCAACACGTCCTGCGCTCTCCCCCAGAGCCATACGCCAAATTGCTCGCCGGACAGGAGAGCAGAATAGGTGCTAATCTAGTCCTATCTATAATATCAAAAAGTTAGGAGTAGACTAACCCCCGCCCTAATCTAAGTCTTACTATATTTTTAAACGAAATTTGCTGGTGTTGTCGGAGTTTTGGCGGGAACTTGACCGTCGATGGATTGTTGCTCTTGTTTTATCGTTTAATGGTTTGAAATGGGTTTTGATTCATTAAAGTGGTGCGATTTTGTGAATTAAGTGTCTGCGCATGTGAACTATTATTAGTAGTGGAAACGACGAAGCAATTGCTCCAATTTTGATATAAACCTCTAGCTATTTTGTTCGTTGAGGTGCCATATAAACTTAAGATACTGGCATCATCGATTATCTGATGGGTTTTTAGCTGTCGTTAAATTCTCTCAAGAACTTTTCAATGAGACGCGCCAGCAAATTGTAAAGATTTTTAAATCTCGAATGAAGTGAAGATAAGGTTAAAAATACAAGCATCCAAGGCAAAAATCTTAAATAATAATAATAGCTGTGTGTAAAACACCCCCCCAACCCAACCCCCCCCACCCCCCCCCCCACCCAAAAAACCCACCCCCCACCCCCCCCCCCTCCCCCCCCCCCCCCCCCTTCCCCCCCCCCCCCCCCCGTAGACAGAGAATGTGTGTCTATATGAGTACTAGCTTGTTACATATTTATTTTTATCTATGATGCGTACGTATGCGTAGTATCCTCCAGGGGGGTACACTTCCATACTTTAGGTTGGGGTTCAATAATTTGCAAAGACACTAGTGCCATCTTGTACTATATCCCCATAAACTTTCGAACATTAAATTCTAAAAGGTGCGCTAGATGGCGACTACACCAATTCTGGTTATTTTGGAAATGGCAAGTAGCAACTTATATGACATAATGATTACCGGCGCTGAGCAAGTTGTGGTTTATTATAGTTTATAAGTGATTTTCGGTTGTTGCTACAATAAGTTTGGTTGAGTTGGGATTAGCCCTCTGTTTCTTTGTTGTCTGTTTAAATTTTCATGCTGGAATTACATTGTATGTTTGTGTAGTGTTATGAGAAATAGACGCTTTCATTTATCATTCCGGTAACCCGGTGGACATATTTAATTTGGTTTGGTGTTGTATTTTGCGGAATAGACGCTTTTACATCGTGTATGTTAAATATATATAACAAAAATAAATGTTAATATTACTGAAATCTATAATACGTCTTTAATTGAACCCTAATCCCTTAAAATATAAATATAACCGCCTATAGTGAATAGCTGTATATACATAACTACATACAGCTATCTATAGTCAACATGATATTGAGATTAGTTCAAGGGATATGATACTAGGCGGCGACACTATTCATATTGGGTGACAAAAAATCCTAGGAGATGGCTCTCTATTTCTGTATATATTACTCCACTCTATGGTATCCTCTTAGTAGTCTGTGGTCTAAATCAAATAAATTTGAAATTTATTGCAAAAATGAATTTCTTTCTATTAAATATTCAAATAATGCGTTTATTATGAAAGGAATTAACAAAAGCTTCAATGAATATAATGTTCTATCGAATTTCGCGAGGTCGTTTTACGTTCAAAATTTATTTATTACTTATATTAATTGTTATCTTTACAATTTGTGCATATTTAATTCCACAATTTAAATTTTATCCCATAGCACCAATAACTGTATCTCCTAATGTTTTGCAGTCACGTACATCGAAACATCTATCGAAGTTTATAACTGTAGTGTTTCGACAATTTGAGGACTTTGAAAATGATATTGCCGAAAGTGTACAGTCGTTTGTTGCTGCTTTTCCTAATATGCCAGTTGTGATTTTCTGCCAGGGATTACAGTATCCACCATTTCAGTTCTCAGCCACTAATGAAACCTTACGTAACGTAAGGATTATATCTTTAGAATTTCGGCTTGATGCATCACCACAAGAATTAAATCCACTTTCTCATATATTTACTGAATATGTGCTTTTTGTCCCCGATTCCGCTCGGGTATCGCGTCGTGTATTGCAACAAGTGGCTGTTGCTGCCATGGCTTTTCCTAATCAGGCAATAGCCATTGGGATTGCCAACTCTCGTCTTGTATGTCAGAAGATAAAGTGGAATTATGTTGATTGGACATTACAGTACAGTAAAAATCCTTCACCTGCACTTTGTGATGCTGTTCAAGGCCAGCATGCAATTTTCATCAGGACATCTCTACTGCATACATTTCCTCAGCCAGTTACTTTTCCCTTTCCAGAGTCATTATACCTACAAGCTACAGTAAGAAATATAAAGGTACTTATTTATTGTAATAATTTATAGGAAAACTACAGTTACATGTATCTATTTTTTGTATTTATCACTATGTTTAGAATAGAATAGAACAATAATATTCTTTTATTCATTATAGATTATAAATAATTATTATTAGAGAAATGTTTTACTTTTATCATAGCAATCTGTCACACATCTTTTACCTGTTCTGGAAAAAACCACCAGGAAACTCACTGGGATTTAAAAAAAACTATTTTCAGTGTTACTACCTATTTAGATATTATAGGCTACCCTAACTATTTAGATATTATAATAGTAATCATTATTGTAATTATATTATTGTTATTATAACTGATGAAGTTAATATTTCTAAAATTTTTACACTTGATTTGTTGAATTTAAAATGTAAATATGTTACATAAGAAAATATTTTATGTATGTTATTACTTATTACAGATAACTTTAGTTAAGTTGTGATATACAGAAGTTTTTAAATTCCCATTAAACTTTACATGGTGTATGGGATAAGAAGTGGGAGGGATTTTATATACAGAGTTATTTTGATATAACTGGCCAAATTTGCAGAGAAAGTTCATAATAAGTAATACAGTCAAATGATGAAGAAAAATTAATTAAAAAAATTCAAACATTGTCCTTTTTATCATTTAAATTCAAATGTGTGGTAATACATTATTTTAATTGATTTTACTGCACACATTCGTAAGGGATGATCGATATGCAAGCACATCACTTTCAAATTGGGATAATTTCGAATAAAAGTAGAAACCTTATTTACTCGTATTTTGAAAAACTGCAACGAAATATCATTTATTTGAACTTAAGTTTAAAATTTGGCTTCTCCAAAAAATACCTGTATATATATCTTTCAGATTCAAATTGCAGATGGTACATTTGGAGCAGGTAGAAGTTTGTTAAAATCACCTGCAGCAAAACAAAAAGCATCACGGCACTTAAGAGATTATAGAATAGGACTTTATAGACAACTTGGGATTAAAACTGTAATAAGAGAAGACAGTAGGGTGCAGTGGTTTGGCTGCAAGAGAGAAACACAGGTGAGTATATAACTCAACCTGAGTCTCATAACTGAAAGTAATTAAAAGCTTTTAAATTGCTTTCAGTTATGAAACACAGTGTTAAGTGTAAGGAGCTCCAACTGACTGCTATAATTTAATACAATTTCATAACATCCACCATACAAAGATATTTATATTCTGTATATGGTATTATATTTGTATACTCTAATGCTCCTTTTGATTTGGATAGTTTTTTTTTGCATGTGTAAGTGATTTAAAAAGTCTAATGAATAGAACCCATGTGCATTTAAATTACAGTGTGCCAATTTTTCTTTTCATGGGTAATATCTGTGTGAGTAATTTGTCAAAACATTTTAGCGCTGTTTCTCATCAGTGCAAGGAACTCCATCTTATGTTCTTGCGGGACGAAATACACCGCCTTGCTGTCGAAGGAACATTCGTCACACTGCTGCTCATGTTTTACAAATGTTGCTCCAAGCAGGCGCCAGATGTTGGCTGGAAACAACTTCCCTGTTGGGTGCTGTTGTTCGGTAATTTTTAATTATTTAGTTTTATTCTTAGCATTGTATTAAAGTTTATAGTTCAGCATTTTAAATTTTATCTGCATTTGCACAGTATATTATGCCTGGCACATTATGTACTTCATCAATTAAATGGTTTATTTATATTTATTTATTTATTTCAGGCAGAACCCATATGTGTTTAACAAATTAAAATTATAGCGAGGGTTATTAAAAGAAAAAAAAACATTTTGCTATTTTGAAGAAATTTAATGTGTTGCTTAACAATGCAACATAACATAGTTTGGATGAGTGAAAATGTTAAATATAATTAACTTAAGTTATTTTCAGAGGGGATCTTCTGCCGTGGGCGGAATATGCTGAAATAGGCATCCATGCTTCTGATGTAGCGCGGGTTACATGGTTACAAAGAGGTGGGGCTGATGCAGATGGATTCATTTGGGAGCGAGCCACCAAAGGTCACTACTATAGCGTAGCTTATTCGGCTTCCAATAGAATCTATGTCCTGATATTACCTTTTACAGCAAGAAATGGAACTATGTGGCCTGCCGATTGGGTTATGGCTCATCAGAAGGAATTTCCTGAAAGACATTTGCATCCATTAGCACAGGTATTTTATACTATTTTTATATATATATAGGTGTACAATTTGTAAAATCCAAAAGTATTTAGAAGTTGTAATAATATTAGGATACTAGCTGTGATAGCCACTTGCTACACTGGCCGCACAATAATAGATGATAATAACATAGATATAAGATATCAAGAATTTTTTAATGGGTTATTGTAAAATCCTTTCTTAGCATCTACATTGCGAAATGAGTAACTATACTAAATTTCAAGTCAATCAGGTATATAGTTTTAGAGATATCATGATGAGTCAGTCCGTGGTATTTAGCTTATATATGTATATTATATATAAGTAGAGATTGAAATAAATATTTCCAATTTTTCCTTATTTTACAGATTCAGTTTGCAGGTCGTCAGGCTCCTGCACCAAATGATGCTCGCGCATTTTTAGATTTGAAGCTAGGCAATTCTGCTGTTGAGAGATGCAATAAACTTGGACCGAAATTGCTCTATCCATAATGATCATAGAATAAAACAAAACAATATTTAATCGAAGTGCAGACATGTACCTGTATAAAAAAAAAACTGCAGTTGCTAGTATAAACATTTTTATCTTATTTCATAGCAATTAATTAAATGTATGTCTCCAGATTATATTTTTATATTATTTGCTAGAAGCAAGTAAAGGTGCTTTTTTTCAGTGCATAGTATGTTAAATTATAATAGGATATTATAATATTGTAAAGTTTATGAACAAAATATTTAAATATTGAAACTAATTTCCTATTTTTTAATTATTCTTATCATTATTAAAATAATATTCAATATTTGTGGAGCGATAATGTGTGATTTAATATAGATTTAAAATGCAAGCAGTGTGATTGTTGGTTTTAAATATGATGTTGATGTTTTTCTTTTTCTGTTGAATAAAATACGATATTTAAGGCCAGTTGCAGAAAATGTTTTAAAGTGTACATTTCTGTATGATAGAAATTCGTGTATTTTTGTTTTATAGGTTGTGGTTTTTTGCGTAATTTGTCAGTAGTCAATTACTAAAAATAGAATTGTTTTTGTAACTTTTGTTCCTAAACAATCATGAATATGTTACTGAAGAATGTGTTACTACTGTGAAGTGTGAATCATTATATTTTGTCCTTAGTTATGGCAACAGACTGCAGCAGCTATTATCGCTACATAATTTTATAAATTCATAGCTATTATAGGATTTGATTGGTGGCGCTGTAGTCACATTGTTATCTAGTTCTATAATATGGACCTAAAGACTCATATTCAAAATATATGTTCTGAGATATTACTCATTGTTCATTATTCCAATAGGAAATAAAATATATGCTGGTTTTATGTCAAAATAGATAATCACAAAATCTGGACACGATATTAATATGGTAGAGTAAATACCCGAACTAGGGTTGCTCGCGGAGCGCCTTAGCCCCTGAGCTACCATGGCTCACATTACCATTTTAATCCGTTTACTATAAAATATTTTTGAATTTTCCATTGTTAGAAATGGTTTAGACTGTTAGTATAAAGTTAAACGCTTACATTTTTCTAGTTAAATTGATTCTTCTAGTTGTATGTTTTTTTTAATGCAATTAGTATAAAATAATTTAGTATGACTATGAAATTCTAAAGTCTCCAGAATATTCTGTAGTTATTTAAACTTCCGAAATTTGTTTAATGTTCTGTTGTTTTTACAAATGAAAACATGCGATCTCATTACATCTAGTCCAGTTTAAGTAAATTGATGACATATAGTACCTAATATGGCCATTAAGAATGGTATTGTTTTGTTTTTAGAGTTTATAAAAATATATAATTAAAAGGTATTGTAAATAAATAAACAAAGTTTAAATACTATGTAATGAATATTATTTAATGTCCTTGATTCAAAAATTGATTTAGGGATGTGTCAGCTTCATAAAAAATATGAAAAATCTTTTTTTTTTGTAGGATAGGGTGACAAACGAGCACACAGTCCACCTGATGGTAAGTGGTTGCTGAGGCCCATAGACATCTACATCTGTCCTCGATTTTAAATCAAAATGCAGATGTGTTGTCACCCGTGAGGACTAAGATGGAATGCCTCGTTTCCAGTAAAAAGGCTCTCCGGTTCTCTACACTCACCATACGAAACACAGCAGCATTAAGCCACTATTGTTCTATATTAAAAATTAAAGTATTCTATATTAAAGGGTTTATTATGTACTTAAAATTATTTAACGTGTTACTAAGATCGTACCGCAAGCATTTTTGTAACTGTTTAGTTTACAAAAAGTTACAAAGTCCAATATTTTTAGTAAATCGATTTTATAAGAAACAATATCATAAATGTAAAATCACAAATTTTGTAAACACACTTCATTTACATATAAAAATACATATAACAAACATTGCACCACACATATCTCACAGTATTATAACATAATTATACTATAATTATAATATAATTAACTATATTTGCAACATTCGACCTTTGCCGTCTGTCTTTAACAATAATGTCAATGGATAAAAATATTTTCAATAATTTACAAGAATTGGACAATATACAGATAGCTTCCGCATATCAATGTGATGTAGAAAATTTAAACAAATATTTAAAATTTACAACAGATTTCACAATTGTAACCCAAAATATAAGAAGTATTTATTCCAACTATGACGATTTTCAACTGACTTTAACTTCTCTACAAGTTAATGCCGACATATTAATACTGACAGAATGTAGGATTCAATCTACCAAACCTATTCCACGTCCAGGTAACTATAATGACTATATTACTCATCATCATGATAATCAAAGTGATGGAGTAGTGGTCTATATTAAAAAATATTTCATCTCAAGTCAAAGAAATTAAGTTGACTTATGCATCTTGCACTGCATACAAATCCACCTACAAAACATAGTAATACTGGGTATATATAGGTCACCATCGAATCCCAACGCAGAACTATTTATCAGTTCTCTTAGTGAGCACCTGGACTCGTTAAAATGGCATTCAAATGTTGTAATATTAATATAAATATTACACCTAGACTTACAGAACAAACATACGAAATAACTAATAGGTCGAAATACTTAAATATGCTTTCTACGTATGGGCTTTTACCGGGACATCATATCCCTACAAGAGAAAACAGCTGCTTAGATCATTTCATACTCAAATTAAATCAACAAACTATTTCTGCTGAGATTGCTATACTGAACACTTCTGCCACAGACCATGCTATGATATTACCTATATTAACAAAATAGCAGAGGATGGGGACAAGTAGTTGTTTAGCCATCTTGATAAATCCGGTTGAAATATTGTTCCAGCCAGGGGCGGAATCTGATTTGAGACCTGCAATAATACTGTTGATCTCTTCCGGATAGGTTTCCATCAAAACAAAGGAAGAATGTGCCTTTACAGATACAGTTTTATGTGCTTCATCAATATGGCAAAAAGATAAACAATTATTAGGATCATTAGTACTTATTTTCTCGGCAAGATTTTTACCCACACTAGCAAAGTACTCATTTACTTTATCAATCAAATCAACTGGTGAGGATTTCGGACTTAACGGGTCTAAACTATTGACACTTGATTGTTTTGTATGGGTTATATTCTTTATGTGCTTCCAGAGAGTTTTACTTGATTTGGATGATATTGCTAAAAGCTTCCTTTCATATTCCCGTTTAAGTTTCTTGATTAATTTAGTAACATAGTTGCGATACCTTTTGTATGTAATTTTTAATACTTCATTATAAGGATTCAATCTTAGCTTCTTTTGCATACTATTCCTATTTCGTATACATTTTAAAATACCTGTTGTTATCCATGGTTTAATTTTTCGCTTGTTACTAGAAATATTTACAATTTTTGTATTTTCTTCAATTGATTCTTTTATTTTGTAAATTAATTGATATATTATATATTCCGGATTATCACTAAAAAGAAGGTTAGACAGGTTTTTTTGAGCTAGACTGGCAAGTGCTTTATAGTAGTCAGTGTTGTGTTTAATTTTAACATTAATTACGTTTTGTCTAATATTGCTTAATTTGAGTACCTATGCTTTGAAAAGGGTGTCTTTCCAAAGCTGCTGAAGTAATCTATTGTAATACCGATTTACAAAAGTGGAGATAAGAAAGAAGTTGGCCAATCTCCTTGCTGCCTGTGTTCTCAAAGATTTTGGAAAAGTTAATTAATTATAGACTTATACAGTATCTCTCTAAATTTAAAATATCAGAAAACTCTCAATTCGGCTTTAGAAAGGGATGCTCTACGGAAGATGCAGTTGCCACGTTGAGTTCTCAAATTGTAAATACCTTGGATAGCGGCAGAAAATGTTTTGCTGTCTTCCTGGATCTAAAAAAGGCCTTTGATACTGTATCAATCCCCATTCTTGTTAATAAATTAGAACAGATTGGTATCAGAGGTATACCTCTAAAACTTTTAAAGGATTACCTCTCTGACGGGACACAGATTGTAAGAATAGGTCAATACAGTAGTAGCTATACAAATGTTAATTATGGTGTACCGCAGGGAAGCGTACTCGGCCTTACATTATTCTTAGTGTATATTAATAATCTGTGTAGTATGAGTGTGAATAGAGGAAGAGTTTTCTCATACGCAGATGACACTGCGATATTATTTTGGGGAGACACTTGGGAAGAAGTGCAATTGATAGCGGAAAAACAATAAACTAAGGTTGCTCGTTGGCTTGCTAATAACTTACTTACTTTGAATGTTAATAAAACTCAATTCATATGTTTTTCTATAACTAGCTGATCACAGCCAAAAGATGATTTTGAACTCAAAATACATAAATGTTACAATCCTTCCAGCGATGACTGTACGTATACATCTATTGAAAAAGTTTCATACATAAAGTATCTGGGCGTTATGGTGGATCAACGACTTTCCTGGTACAAACATGTCGAATTAGTGTCTAGTAGAAATCGAAAACTCACTTGGATATTTAAAACTTTAAGATTAAATAAGAACAAGCAACATGTCCAGACCTTTTAAATCAAATTTACTTAGCGCTTGCTCAATCTATTCTAATATATTGTATACCTATTGGGGGGGGGGGGGGTACTTATAAAAGTAAATTTATTGAAGTTGAGAGAGCTCAAAGATGTTTATTGAAAGTTATACATTTTGAGCCATATAGGTTCTCCACTAGCATTTTGTATTCATCTTGTGGTGTGATTTCGGTGAGGCAGTTGTACATATTACTCACTTTGTTAAAAAAACATAAGTCTTTGTGTTTTAATCCTACTTACGGTAGTAAAAGAAGAAATTATAGCGTAGTTCCTATATGCAGTACGAAAACCAACTTTGCGAAAAATCAATATGAAAAACAATCAGAACACTTATATAATCAAATTAATAAAATATTGCAAATATATCCGTTAAAGACATACGATTGTAAGAAAAAAATAATGCAGTGGCTTAAGACACTTAATTACGATCGAATTGAAGCTTTATTAGAATTTATCCTATAAATGCATTCACTCTCTGTCTTTTCCTCATACATACACACGTACACACACGCACATGCACACACGCACACGCACACGCACACGCGCACGCACACACACACACACACACACACACACACACACACACACACACACACACACACACACTTCTTAGATTAATCGATCTTAGATCGCCATGCCTAAAATATACCCCTATAAACCAATCTCTAAAGTCGACCTACCTATGTTCAGCAGTGAACTTTTGAAAGTCTGTAATCGATTGATGGAATGCCAGTACCTACTTCGGTCGATCGGTCAGCATCAAAAGGAAGGTAGCAGTTCAGGTATTAAATAAGTATTTTGAAACGTGCGATCATTAATATTCGACCATCCAAAGTAGCCAAATGATTGCGATCTTGCTGCAATACATCGTAATACACAACGTCAAATATATTTCAGTTACACTGTATAGCAACCAAAACGTCAATGGTATCGAAGCAGCTATAGTGGGCGACACAACGGGAAAAATAACTATTCTAATATGATAGGTTGCAATTTATTCTGCGTTGTTTTATTATAAAAATAATGTACTTACGTTATACTTCGACATCATTACCACTACCATTACAGGCCACCAAATGTCCACCGATATCTAGGTCTAAGTCACATATCTAGGTTTCCCACAAGGATAGCCACAAAGCACACTTGTGAACCACTTGCATCCATTGACTTCCGCATGTCTTATTAGTTACTTCCCAGACTGTCACTCGAGAACCTCCCGTCATTTGACGGTTCTTTTAACTTTATGACCGGCATTGACCAGTTTAGCTTCCCGATCTGTTGGTATGTTAGTTATTCTGCTTCTACTGCGGACATCCTCATTTCGAATTCTATCACGGAGATGAATTCCGAACATACTTGTAACCATTTCCATAGCTCGCAAATGAATCTTGAGCTTCATCAATACGACCAGCGCCAGCGATGAGAGACCGTGTTTCAGATCCATATTATGTCATCATTGACAGTATACACTGGTTGTCACCCTAGTTTTATCTAAGTTTTGAAGTGCGATACAAGATGTACCATTAAAATTAAATGAATAAAAATAAAGATTCCTTTTAAAACTATAATGATAATATTTTATTATGAAAAAAACTTCGGTTTCGTTGGTGTTGCATATTATAATAAACCTACAGATTGAATTTTAAAATAATTTAGAATTCAATCCTTTATAATCGAGATTTCTTTATCATTCTTTAATGTTGTTACATATTTTTAAATAGTTTTGACAAATTATAGCAATTAATTATTATGTGATTATAGTAACAAACTAACCGCCAATGTACCGATATGATACTTCGTTGAAGTTAACAAAATAATAATTATCATAATTCCAACTTTTTTATATAATGGTATATTTAGCTGCAATAAAATAAAAATGTAAGGAATGCTGCATCAATATCATCGTTTTTTGGCGTAAGTTTATTAGTGGTAAGTAAAAAACGGAAACAATTTATTTGTTATTTTATTTAAATCTCTTTTAAACACGAATAAATGAAATATCTTTTGGACATAATTTATTTACTAGAGTTATTTTTACTAATAACAAGTAGTATTAATCTTCTTCGAACTTTTCATCAACAATTCCAGGTGTAAAAGGCGGATCTCGAACTAGACTTAGAAGTTTGTCTAATTTTATAATCTGTAAAAAATAAGGTAATAATGTATGCCTAAAAATTGGCAAAAAATACCAATTGTGCTTCTTTTGTCCAAGAAACACGAATTGCACAAACCGAAAAAGATAAAATTAGTTAGCACTATAGTCTATGTAAGAAAATTTTATGAGCAAGGTGAAAATTAATTTAATTAAAATAAATTAATTTATCGCCATTATTCTTGAAAACAAGTCACATAATAAAAAAATGTTTATCAATAAACAATTAGTTTGTTGAAATACTGCCCTCTATTGACAGAAAATTGATTTAAGATAAGGACCTTAGCAGCGCCATCTCTTAAGAGTTATTAAAGTACTATATTATTATGTATAGAAGTGGCATATAGGTGGCAGAACAGTAGGGAGAAACCGCAATCTAATAATTATGGTAAACATAAATAATTTGATTAGCATAGATATTTTGAGCAGATTGATTTAAAAATAGATAACTTTTTAAATCAATCTGCTCAAATATTTAATTTAAATTATTATTTTTATATAGATATAAATATAAAATAAATTGCAATTTTAATTATTTTTTTAATACAAAGTTTAAAAAATATGTTATACCTGCAAAGTCCTTTGATCAATTCCTTGGGCCTTTTTAGGTGGTTTACACATCACTCGTAAATTAGGTGATAATTTTAATACATGACATGTACCCCTAGAAAATTAAAAATGTAATATGAACAAAATACAGAAACTTTGTTTACATTTGCCCCCAGAGAGATTTGAACTCTCGACCCCTGGTTTACAAGACCAGTGCTCTAACCCCTGAGCTATGGAGGCTTGTTGAATTTATTGAAATTTATAATTACATTCTATATCCTTTTATATCACATATAATTTTGTTACAATATTTCATAAAAAAACCTAATACTTAAAATATCATTAAGTCGTGCTTCCCGCGGTAGAGTGCCAAGAACGGTGAATGCGTTTCCACGCTGCATAATTAGCTTTTGAGCAAGAAAAGAACCAGCCCCTTTTGTCACTAGTGGCGACGGCAAGTCGTGGATACAGTTCCTTTGAGAACTTCATTGCACGTGAACCCAACAAGCCGATAGTTACTACAGCAAGTGGCACAATATATGATCATCTTTCCGTGATTCATATTTGTGCCATTTAAAATGCCACCTCAAATGCCGCCGTACCCTCCTGACGAGAGGTCTCCAAAGTGTCTACCCATGTAGGTAGTACCCGTACTTTGACCTTGCCTCTCACTGACCTCTATATACAACATGTAACATAATTAACGCACTTTGAGAAAGTAGTTTGTTCAGAATCGTTTACTGAATCGATTCCTATCATTTTTAATATAGGTAATTTTTTATCCCAAAAATAATTAAAACTACGTAAATTACAGTCGCACTAAATCTGTACAGTCAAAACAAACTGAAATGGATCGTAACATAAGGCAATAAGAGTGCAGTTTTATTTGTAATATTACTAATTCTGTCATTCAAAAAAATAAAGAAAAATGAACTTTATTTCAAGTACGTTAAAGTCTTTGCGTTCGTGGATGGATGGGACCACATCACTCTTCCGGAATTAGTATAACTAATTTGACAAATAATTAGTGCATAAAAATGTTTAACCAAAATTCAGTGTGTGTATTATGATTATAACATAATATACTAATTGGGGTGTCTGAGGGTGTGCGTTAATTACGTTACATATTGTATACAAGTACGCTGGACTGGCTATACCATAGAAAATGACTGTGCCAATTTAAAGCGCTGCTAAAGGATGTCTTGAAAAATAAAATTGACAAAATAAAAAAAGTCAAAAGTCAAAATCTGTTGTCTCATTTATATTGTCTTTAAGTCCCTCGAAAATATTGTATGTTGTTTGATTGTGTACAATATTAGTTACATAATAAGAATTATTTTTATTAATAATGAGAGTGTGAATATCTGTAAAACTCGTTACCAAAAGGAAAGTGGTATAACATTTCACAAGTAAGTGAATTTGCAGCAAATATTAAACAAATTAAAACTATTTGATAAGTTCTTAAAATATTGTTACTAATCTTAATATCATTTATACCAACATCTTTGGCTATATATTACTGAGTTTTGATAAACAATAAAATTCAATAGGTTTGTCGAGTTCCTTGTCTATAATACTTATCGATGTTCTTTCCTACCCATATCTGTTAACAAACAAAGTCTCCAACAACAGACGATTATTAAATGTTTATTAATTAACAGGTTTCCAACTGAACCTAGACTAAAATTATGGCTTAAAAGCATAAATATTGTGAATTGGCGTCCGAAACAAAATGATCATATTATTTGTTCCAAACGTTTCACAGACGACTGTTTTATTAGACATGAGAAACGCACCACTTTGAAAAAGTGCAGTACATCGACAATATTTTCTGTTAGTACCAGTAAGTATAAAACTATTAGATTATTATTTCGAATGTTTTTTTTTTTATTTCTTCTTTCCTCATTTTCCACCAAACTCAAGGGCCATAGCCAAGTGTCGAAAGGTTGCCTGATGATGTCGAGCCACGTTGTATGTATTTTAGTGGGCTGGGGCTAGAGGAGATTCCTCTCCCCGTACCGCTGTAGTCGAGGTGGAGTCGTAAGGGAAGAGGAGTGTTGGTATGCCGATTGGCGATGCGCCACAGGACCGTGCTTTGTGGCATTTCTTGGGGGAGGCCTATGTTCATCAGTGGACTTGTGAAGGGTTTTAATGATGATGAATGATAATGACATTATATTAATATGATACATAAATAGAATGGACGTTACGGATAGAGTCCATCTATCCATAGAGTCCATTCTATTTATTTAGGTATGGTAGGGTATAGAATTTTTATCGATATAATTTGGTACACTGTCTTATCCCTATTATTAGTTCCGTGGACGTGCACTTCTGCTGTCAGCGCCAAAATGGCGGAAATCAAATCTCTTCATCATGTCACGGTGTATAGCCAGTCCAGCGTACTTGTATATCTATATATATGACCTCTATAGGTCAGTGTTGCCTCTCTCCTTAGTGATCAAAATCTTACCGTCGAGTCTCCTGCCATCGTCTCACACAATGGCTTTGAAACTAGGGAACATTTCGGTTTATAATAACGTTATTTAAAAAACCGTGGTAGGATAATTTACTAGAAATTTTCTTAGATGAAAGTCCGTGAAGCCCAAGTTCGTCAACACCGCTTGTTTAAGTTACAAGGGCAATGATGAGTTTGACAAATCGCTGCTCCTAGTCGGTTTCTATGGCTATGCGCGGGCTTTCCCCGTCAAGTAATATGCCATGGTTACTTGATGGTAAAGCGTGTGAATTTCATTAAGGCAATTAGATGATTGGTACTATTTTTGAATCTCCATTAAGTGGGCAAGGTTTTATACTGGTTTGTTCGAAAGGATCCATACGTCTTTTTTATACCACAGCTGGTCAAAGTAACAACAGTTTTATTAGTGCAGAAAAAACATTAAAATAAAGTGCTTTGAACTCAGTCTAGTAATTATTTAAAAAAGTTTGCTTACAGTCATACGAAGCAATCACTTCACAACTAATCGTAATATTAGTAAGAAAAAGGTATAAATAAACTCCAAACGCAATAATTAGAGCCGTAAACTTAAGAAAAGTCCGAAATGTTTTCTCATTTTTTTTATCATTTGGCATTGGATTTTTTTTCATATGCTGTACTTAAAAGGTATAGCATATTAGTTAACCTCACTCCCATAGCAGTTTGATTTACTCATTCTGGGATACCTGTAGATATCTGTTGGGCCACAGCATCCACTTATCATCAGGTGGTCTGTGTGCTCGTTTGTCACTCTTAATCTATATAAAAAAAAACCGTTGTGACAGATCCTTTCATGGTTCATAATACATAACTCTATAATCTCCATATCTCGAAAAAGAGAAATGTTATATAAATACTACATATACTGTACTATATACTTTTACCATGTACTTTTATTTAACGAGAATATTCAATTTATTTCCGGTTAGCAATACTTCTGATTGTGAACGTCTGCAGGAGAAAATAGGCATAGTGGTGAAGTGGAGCCACGAAAACAAATTCCATTTTAATGTGTCCAAATGGTGTTGACATCCGTGCGCGTAAACCGATCCACTTCAAATACAAGTTGGAAGCGACACCGATGACGAGTGTATCTCAGGTACGAGATCTCGGAATCCATCTCGCTCCGGTCTAACGTTTCCCGAAAATATTGTTAAAAGTCGTAAAAAGGCGTATAGAAACCCGAGTTTTGTCCTGAGATAGTCACGAGACTTTACAAATATGAAGTGTGTGTAAATAAATAAATAAAATGAAATACATACTTGGTGTCGCCGCAGACAATGACGGGTAATTTTTTATTAAAATCAATTCTCGTCAGTTTTTTTGTTCTCTTAGACACTACAGCTTGCACACATATGGGACGATATTTATTAACGTTGAGATCGTAAACGTACACCTGTACAAAAAAATATAATTTTACTTATAATCCATTAGGTAAGTTACATTTTAATATTGTTATGCCCATGCATGACTTTGTCAAGTATTGGTAGATTGGCTTTGTTTACGCAATCACAATGAAATTTAAATTTTTACACATTCAAATTTTCCCTTGCTGTGTGGTAGCGGCCTAGAATACTGTCACTCCTTTTCATACCGTGGGTGTCGTACGAGCCGACAGAGGGAAATGCGTTAAAAAAAAGGAGAACTTAAGGTTTCCGATGGATGGCGGTATAACCCTCCCAGTCTTCGTTAGTCGTCTGTGATGGGCAGCAGCGTCACAGGTGCGACGTGTCCGGCACTGCGATCGCCAACCCGCTTGCCCAGCGTGGCGATTAAGGGCAAATCCTCCAATGAGTAGCACCACAAAAACATGGCCCCCAGTTTCCGGTCGCCCAATTATTTCTGCCCGTGGTGGCGGTCATGGCAACGGTGGGGCAGGGGGTGCGAAGAATCCCCGGGAGAGAACAGGTTACCACCAAAAACTGGAATTGGCGATGTATAACGGACGGTATATGTACGGACTTTGCGGCAAGACGGACACATTTACGAACTGGAAGCTGAACTGGAAAATATAAGATAGCATATTGTAGGGTTAAGTGAAGTCCGAAGAGAGAGGGGGAGGATACAATTACCCTGCAATCGGGCCATCTGCTCTACTTTCGGGAGGGAGACGGCGTATCCCAATGCGGAGTAGGTTTCCTCGTTCATATGATCCCCACTAACAGCATTGTAGAAATCTACAGTGTGTCGACACGGGTAGCGTACCTTGTACTTAAGTTATCAAAGAGATACTCTCTGAAGATCGTACAAGTTTATGCCCCGACCTCGGCACATTCGGATGACGAAGTTAAAACTGTATAAGAAGACATTTCTGGGGCCTTACGTAACACCACAAAGGATTTTGGGACACCACGGTTTTGGAAACAGGAATCACAGGGGGTAAATGCTGGTCAACTTCCTCGAGAAAGAGGGGCTATTTCTGATGAATACGTTTTTCGCGAAGAAGCCACAAAGGAAGTGGACCTGGCGCAGTCCCGATAATACTACAAAAAATGAGATTGACTTCATCATGACGGACAAAAGGCACATATTAAGAGATGTCTCAGTGATCAACAAATTCAATACCGGAAGCGATCACCGACTTGTTCGAGGCATTCTGAATATCGATTTTACCAAATCTGTTTCAAACCGTAACTGGCTCCCAACGCTTCTATCTAGAACTTAAAAACCGATTCGATGCCCTGAGACCCACTTTGGATATTGACGAGGACCTTAACAGCGTGATTAAGATCTTAAGGGATGAGTGCAACAGGTTTTGTGGCAAGTAACATACTTCAGATACTTCAGCTTATAAAAAGAAGGCGTGAGTTAACAACAGCATCACCATCGGGACAGATGACACTAACCAAGCTTGTGAGGAAAGCTGTGACCTGCGTCGTTCTTATGCAATTGCTATACAAGCGGTAATAGAGTGAAACAAAGGATCCAAAATCTTTGTTCGGGAGCTTGGAAGAAGTCACGTCGCAAAACTCTAGACGCATGATGGTAAAATCCTCACGTCAAAGCCTGAGGTTCTCTCTGAGATCGAACACTATTATGGCAAAGTATATGCCTCACATAAGCCACAACCTGACCCTAAATGCGATGATCTCAGAGCCACACCGACCCGCCACTATACCGACGAGCTGCCAGACATCTGCTTTGGGGAGATTGAGCTGGCCCTCTGCCAACTTAAAAATGGAAAAGCCCCTGGAGAAGATGGAGTTACAACAGAGCTCTTAAAGGCCGGGAGTCAACCCTTGCTAAAAGAGCTCATTCGATGATTTTAACTGCATCTTACGAGATAGGAGAACTCCAAAGGCGTGGAGCAGAAGCATTACAGTCTTGTTTCATAAGAAAGGTGACAAGACTAGGCTAAAAAATTATCGACCCATCTCGCTTCTGAGCCACGTCTAAGTGTTTCAGTAAACAAATCGACTCGCGCAAAGACTTGACGACTTTCAGCCTGCGGAACAGGTTGAGTTCCGAGGAGGATTTGGCACTATAGACCACATTCACACAGTGTGGCAAATAATACAGAAGACAACAGAGTATAATCAGCCCCTGTGTCTTGTATTTGTGGTCTATGAGAACGCCTCTGACTACATTTAATCTTGGGCTGTTCTAGATTTTTTGCAGCGGTGCCAAATTGACTGGCGGTACATCGAAGTGCCTAGATACCTTTACAACACCAGTACGATGTCCGTCCAAGTACAGGACAGTCAAACAAAACCAATCCAGTTGCATCGCGGAGTGAGACAGGCTTCAAATGCACTGGAAGATGTTTTTAAGACATTAGACTGGAAAGGACGCGGTATTAACGTAAACGGTGAGTACACCTCACACTTACGCTTTGCTGATGATATCGTCGTCATGGCAGAATTGCTGCAGGAACGTCAGGACATGCTGAACAGACTAAATGAATCCTCCCAACGTGTTGGTCTGTGCATGAATCTGAACAAGACAAAAGTTATGTTCAACGATTACGTCATGCTAGTTCCAATTACTGTTGATGGCGAAATTCTCGAAGTTGTCCAGGAATATACCTACCTTGGGCAGACTTTGCAACTAGGTAAGAATAACTTCAAGAAGGAAGCCGATCGGAGGATTCAGTAGAGCTGGGCAACATTTAGAAAGCTCCGTCGGGTTTTCTCGTCGCCCATACCGCAAAGTCCGAAGACAAAAGTCTTTAACCAGTGCGTTCTGCCCGTACTCACTTATGGTGTCGAAACGTAGACACTGACGATACGTCTGCTCCAAAAGTTTAAAGTCGCTCAGATAACAATGGAAAGAGGTATGCTCGGAGTTTCTCTGGTAGACAAAATTCGAAATGAAGAAATCCGCCGCAGTACCAAGGTTACTGACATAGCTTTCCGTGTTTATAAGCTGAAGTGGCAATGGGCTGGTCATGTCTGTCGCAGAAGTGACAACCGGTGAAGTAGAGATGTTATGGAGTAGAGACCGCGTCTAGGCAAACGTAGTGTGGGACGCCCCCTGACCAGATGAAGCGAAGATCTGCGCAAGGTGGCTGGTAGAAACTGAATGCGTGTAGCCGAAGATCGGGCTAAGTGGTGCGCCCTGGGATAGGCCTATATCCAGCAGTGGACTATCGCTGCGGCTATAGGCTGATGCTGATGATGAAAATTTTCCCATAGTTATTTTACACAATTATTCAATAGGCATACGATCATGTTACTCATTAAAATTGTCACATAGTCCTGTTTATATTGTCACATAGTCACGTTAAACCTTGAAATTGACACACAGTCATGTTACAAATTGAAATTGTTACTAAGTCATGTTACATATTAAAATTTTCACATAGTCGTTAAGGGGATATAGTAAGTCAGCTCAAATTCTAATTTCGAAATTAGAATCGCGTCGTATGCTATGTACCGACATGTTTGTAATCACTAATACAGTAAGTAGATAGGTCGTTAGACACTTATTTCATTAGGTTTATCATATTTATGCCTGTTTCTTAACGCCAAGCCAGTCGCTTCTTATTTTTATTACGATTATTTCCCATTTTAATTTTACTTCGTCCCGTTGCGTAATGTGTATTATGATCGTAAGCGACACCCCCCCCCCCCTTCAAATGCCTAAGCGAAACTGATCGGGCGGCAGGAATCAGTGTTGCCAACTGCTAGCTTTACCCAGTAGCTAGACATTTTCAAAATGTTGCTAGATTTCCAGTTTTTTTACCCTAACATTTGCTAGAAGTTGCTAATTGTTACAGTAGATAAGTAGGTTACAATAAAATGCCAGTTTCTGATAATCATTTTTATCCATTAATTCCAACGAGAAGTTAAATTAAGTCCTGTGTACGCAATTGAATAAAAAATAAATTAATCAATTAAAGAGGAAGATGTCGATGGCTGGGGTTCAGTATCTTTCATTGATTTCGAATATTTTTCAACGGTGCCCATTTTATGCAGTACGTCTTTGGGCAAAACACAGTTATAGCAGCATTTACCACTTTTCCCGAGGGAGTATCTAATGCAGAGGATTGAGGTCAGAGTTTTCAAACTCATTCTGTTTCTTTGCTTATTTTTAACTAAATTCATTTGAGAGAATAACCTTTCTACCTCTGCATTAGAATGTGGCAGTGAAAGGCAAGTTAAAGCAAGAGTACTTATATCTTGATATATGTTGTCACCGGAAGAATTTCTAATTTTTTTTACTTCGACCCAAAATTGAACTATTTCTTCAGAATGCCACTTCAGTTTCTCACTTCAGATTTATATGTAGAATGTTCCACTGTTGCATTATCTTGTCTATTATTTCTGGTGTAAATCCCAAAATTTCAGCAACGTCGATGATAGTGTTTGACTTAATAGTCTTTGACTTAGCAACGCCATTGATTCTAGCTGCTTGTAGTTGTTTAGAAGTCTTTGTTGCTATTCCTTAAGTAATTGCAGTAAGAAGGTGGAGCAGCGTTGTCGTATTGCATTTCAAATTTTGTAGTCTAAATTATGTTGAGCAGTTTCAAACATGTAGCCAAGATAAGGCCTAGGCTTAATATCCCTGTCAGTTATTGGATCTAATAAGTTTCTGTTTACAGGTCTTGGCATTAAAATTCTCCGGCTCACCGATTCTATCAGTGTTGTGAGTGTATTGAGAAGTTTTAATGGATTTGAGTTTTCACTTTCAAATGATTTAAGTGCTGTTTGAACATCATTTAAAACGCTTTTCAGAAACACAAAATATAAATAATTTCTTTTGTCTTCGAGCATGTTGTAAATAAGCTCAGCTGAGTAGCAATTGTCTTTCCCTCTTGCTAAATTAAAATGTATTTTCAATTCTTCCCATTGTGTCATAATTTTTGTTATAGCTGGCTCTATTGAAAACCAACGTGTATCGCACACCTTGGTGATTTTCAACGGACTTTCGCCACATTTTATAAGTTCGTATATTTTTGTGTATTCGTGTCACTGCTTAGGAGACACAGAAAACCATTTATAAATTTCTCTAACCAAAACCTCTAAATTTCTTGGCAGAGTATTTTCGGAGGCATGAGTCACTGCTAACTGCAACGAGTGGCAAACACATCGTATCAGTATCAAATTTTCTATACCATATTCTCTTTTTAGGATTGCATGAACCCTGTCATAACAGATGCATTATCAGTTCCAATTCCAATCATTTGTTTGATATCGAAGTTTTGACTCTCTAAGCATGATACCAAGCCATTAACGATTCCCCTAGCATCTGCACTCTAAATAGAAACTAGTTCCAGGAATGAGCTTACTATCCTTTCCTGTGCGGCACTATAATGCCTAATTACAAGACCAAGGTGTCCATTATAATGCTGAACTTTTGGTTTCCAATATAATCTAAGAGCTCCTTGCGAAAGTGCGGCATCAGCACATTTTTCTTTATTTCTGTACATTTAGTGCGATGCAATTTAAGCTCCTGTCTAGCTTTGGAGTCTTTGAAACACATTATGCATAGTTTACCTAAATGGTCAACACTTAATATAGAACAGTGCTCGGCAATAAATAAGGTCAATGCGCCTTCAGATTCATCGCAAGATCTAAATAAATGGTCTTTTGGTACAACTTTGAAAGGAATTTCTTTATTGCCTGTAAAGACAAAATTAATATACATACAAATTGGTAAAATGAAAATATCAAACTCATTTTTCCCATCGATAGAGTCTGATATCAACAAAACGAATTTTAAATTCATTCACGTACCTGTTTTGAACTCTACTTTCTGTTTATGCTTTTTGATCTCAGCATGCTTCTTTAATTCAAACAGTTTAGCAAGAATCTCCGTAGAACAATATGTACAAAATGCTTTGCTCGTGTCTCCACTTGCCGATTTTAGCCAACCTTTAAATTCGTCCATATTTTCCCACTCCGGTCTGTATTTCTGTGCGTAGGTTTTTTTCTCAAAGGTAAATCTATTTTCAAATTAAATTAAATTTGTTTTATATGGATAAAACAAAACAACACAAGGTAGAACACGAATAGCGCGTACTATTTTAGTTTACTAAGTATTCTGTCGCAGAGGAAACGGGGAATTCCCGGCCAGCGTCGACCTGTACTTACCGTAGCATCTATTATTTATAAATTTTTATATCCATAAATTTTTTTCTTTCGACTCGGCACACTACTCGACGAATTTCGATAGACTCACGTCTCATGATGAAATGAAAAGTTGCTAGAAAAAGTAGCTAAAAAGTTGAGCTACAACTTTTATTAAATTGTAGCTGTCTGTCACCAAATAATAGCTACCTAGATCTAGCTATAAAGTTGCTAAGTTGGCATCACTGGCAGGCATCACGCTTCAAGAGGCCGATAGTTTAGGTAATTATTTTTACAGTGAAAATAATGGTATTAAAAAAAAGTAAATAACATAAGCACTGCTTTATAGTTAGTTCAGTTAGTATGCAAAGTTTCATGATCTTATTTAAAGTATTTTATGAATAACAGCGGTTTATTGTTTATTTTGGAGGTAACTTTGGATTTTTTTTTCTATCGAGCAAATTTTACTGAATCGTGTTTTCGTCTAGCATAATCCTTAACATTAATCCTCAACTTCACCATATATTTATTTCAAAATTAATGCTGAAATATTTTCGGCATAACGGAGAATCTTCTTGCTAAGCCATTTGAGGTTATAATATTTCCCCTTAAATATTGAAATTATCACACATTCATGATACACATTGAAATTGTTACAATACACCCAAAGTATTACTATAGTAATGTTACACATTAAAATTATTACACAGTCATGTTATAGGTACATTGAAATTGTCGTAGTCATGTTACACATTGAATTTGTAATACGATCTTGTCACACAAATATAGAAACACCCAAAAGACATAAGATACCTTCCGGGCAAGTCACATGGATAGTCACATGATATTTTTAATATTTGTCACAGTTTACCTTTCCATCTGCAGTACAGGCGGCAAATACAGTGCTGGAGTATGGTGCCCATTTTACGTCGCCCACAGGTGAGCCCAGCTCGAACATGAAAAGTGGATCGCTGAAGAATATTATAATTAGTTATTAAAAAGAAGAAACAATAAAATTAATTTGAATGTATCTATTCGGAATTAACATATTTTTAATTATCATAAAACAAAACACAGCTAGGATTTATCCTAGTGTTTACACTAGCATTTTTTCTTGTATCGTGTGGGCGTTTCACATATCGTACATATTCTTAGACCGATTGTCTAAGTACATATTATATACAGTTATTTGTGAGCATTAAAATAAGGTCTTGTTCGTGCAAGTAGTACTATTATTTATTCTGTGGTGTGAATTTAAAATCTGTAATGCTCAGCGGAAGCGGAACGCAAATATTTAAAGCTCATCGACCGACACGAGCTGAGCAGTCAGAGACGGGGGTCCGCATTCCCCCCCTCGGACTGCGGTTAGATAGCTCAAGAAACGCCTCTATTAATTGTAGTATATCAACAACATTGTGTTTTAAAAAAATAAATAAAAATAAAATTAAATAATTTATTTTTCTTCACAAAACTTAAATTAATGACATAGTTGATTGGGATCTCAATTGAAGCAAGTAATGCCTGTGTTTGGAAACCCCGCTCTTCCTTATCTGGACATACATTTTTTTAATTTAAAAATCAAAAATGACAAATACTAATTACTCTACTTTAACAACCAAAATTTACAAAATTATTTATTATTTATTTATTTATTTTTATTTTATTCTTTATTGCATCCTTAAACAAAAGAATACAAAGGGCGGACTTAATGCCTTAAGGCATTCTCTACCAGTCAACCCATGGAGTGGTGAGAATTTGATGTAGGTGTGGCAATAAGAGAACACTATACAAATGATAATTAACTACATAATATATACAAACTACTAATAAATAAACTGTACATATATGATCTGTCCTTACATATATACAAATATATAAATAAATGGATATACATACAAGTATATATATACAATATATATATATATATATATATATATATATATATATATATATATATATATATATATATATATATATATATATATATATATTTAAATACATACATAATTAGTATATACAATTAATGACTATGAATATATACGTCTGTTTGGCAATACATATTAAATTGATGAGTCATGTAAAATGCATTGTCTTTAAGAAATGATCACGGACCAACTTTTTAAAAGCGTACTTATTGGGAGCTTTTCTGATGTCATCGGGCAAGGAGTTCCAAAGGCGTGTAGCCTGAACTGTGAAGGAGTTACCATAGAACTCGGTGAAGTGAACTGGAGTACAGATTTTGTTGTTAGAAGAAGAGCGTAGGACCCTATCATGAGATGAAGAAAGATAATGAAATTAGAAAGATAATGAAATATATTAATTACAGAAGTGTATATGTGTGCATATATATACACTTCTGTAATTTTGTAATTTTTTTTTGTATCTATCGTCATCCTTGTTTTAGTTTTACAGGGCGGCAAAGCTTAAGGTGAACATATTACCCTCATGTTACTCACCTTATACTAATATCAGACCGACTCAACAACTCAACACGGTCACTGTCATTAACATTACCCACGCCCATCACACATGGTCAGGAGCCACCTACTGCATCAACTCACCGTTTCTTTTCATTAGGTGTCATTCCGTTTCATCATTTGACAATATAATGTACCTATGTACATTTTTTTACAAAATTTTACATCCCTTTCTGCTACTTATTGTAACAGAAGTGATAACCTGTTTTACTTCATTTTTAAATATTATACAAAGGATTGCCAAGGCTTGGTATTTTAAATTTTACTGAGCGTTAATAATATTTTTTTTCAACAACGCTTTTAAACACTACACAAAGGTAACTGCTAACTATACTTTTTTATTTTTCCAAAATAAATTGAGATCAGGTAAGCGTGAACGTAGTTGTTGTGTTGAAAAAATAAACATTCTTTTGTGAATTTTCCAGAATCATTCATTTTAATTTAATAAAGATCCGTCCTAAGGTTCTATGAAGAATCTAAACGTATTTTATATGTATATGGGATACGTATTATGTATATTACAAAAATATTACTAAATTAAGTTTATTTATCTATTCACGTTCCGTGGGTGTTGCACATGTTGTGTAAAATTAAGCATTTAATAAAAAGTTAAAGCTGACTTCAAAGAACTAAAAAGAATAATATTATTTTCACATAACAGCTTCGGAAGTCGTTTACTTTTTTTTGAATATTTTGAGTAGATTCAGGAATACAAGCAAGGGATGCATGGGATAACCCCGGAAGTATCATATATATATATATATATATATATATATATATATATATATATATATATATATATATATATATAGTCCATTGCTGCACTATAGGCCCTCAAAAATTCCCACCTTCAAGGGGTTGACATCCGCAGTTTTTTTTATTTTTAGTCATTATTAAGAAGGCGGTGCTGCTCATCTCCTTTCCATTTGTTTCCCTCTGTCGCCTCTTACGACACTCGCAGAATGAGGGTAGTATATTCTTAATCCGCCACTACACGGCACATATATATAATAAATGTGTAAAATGTTATGAGAATATGTACGTTTCTATATAATATGCACAATATGTAAGTTACGACGCGAATGGTTTACGTGGTAGAGTCGTTCTGTAGCTATATTATTTTTTACGAATGTGTCGGACAGACCGTGGTAGGACCACGCTCTCACAGAACTTCAGCGTGAAAAAGCAGCTTAATACCGCTACGTTTCGTATGGTAAGTGTAAAGAACCGGAGACCCTTTTTACTGGAAACGAGGCATTTCATCCTAATCTTCAGGGGTGACAACGCATCCGCATTTTGATTCTTAATCGAGGATTGATGTAGACGTCTATGGGCCACAGTATCCACTTACCATCAGGTAGACTGTGTGCTCGTTTGTCACCCTCATTCTATAACAAAATACAAAAAAGATGCTAAAAAGTCTTTTGATGGCAGAATGAGCGTCAATATTCTAAAACATTTATACTCAGGCACGCGACGTGAAACCGCATCAAGGGCGCAAAACGCCTGGTACAGCGATTATAAATATATAATATATTGTGATTGTTATTTCGCCTATCGGGCGCGGCGAATTTTTCTCTACTATTAGTAATCCATGTCTAGTAAGGGAAACGAAGGACATGGTATCTGGTTGCAGTTTTAGTTAGTACAAAAAAAAATAGAAGAAAACCCTCACTCTCGTCCGTCTTCCCATATTTTCACTCGCCAATCACCGGAGCAAGATGCATAAATCGAGTTGTTAAAATAGTTGTAGTTGATACGGTAGACGGGCATGTGATGCGCTTGACACGAGCGCACATAGCTCCGGTTGTACTTCAATGAACACGTGTGTATTGCGCCGTCCTCAGTCCCCACGAGGAATATGTCTGATTTTTCCGGATGGAAGCATATGCAGCTGCCACAGCCTAATTAAAAAGTAATTATGTAATAACGATTTCTTATATTTACGCGAACAATACAAGATGCAGGAGTGTACAAGCTTGATTGTGAATGTGGTCTCTCTTATACAGGACAAACAAAAATATCAATTAGAACCCACGTAAAAGAACATATAGCTGATGTGAAGCATCCGTTCCGGAAAGTCTGTAGTTTGTGATCATATCCTAGACGGCCCCAACCATTACATCAGATTTGAGACGTAGACGTGAGGCTATTGAAATTAAATAACATCCTAATTTCAATAGAGAAGGAGGCTGGGTACTACCACCTGATTGGGACCCTATAATCAATAAATTAAAACTAAACCCAGGCATACCACGGCAAGACCTCAGGAAATAGTCAGTTCATTTCGCATAAATCGGACCATAAACAAAAATTAAAAAAGCTGAAGGTACTCAGGGTTTAACAATGACATCGGGACGTCAGTCACCTCAGTCCCCCGTCACCATGGGTGCTGAAAAGCGCCCGAAACGTCGGGAATAATAATTAAAATTAAAATTAAACGCGATAAAATCCGTAAAAGTAGTTTTTATCAATAATTATATAATCTTATAGAGTACATTATTTTAATATCGAAGATATAATATATTATGTAGAGATTGCTGTATATAACTATTACCTCTCTATTTTTTAGGTGGTAGAGCCATGCTGCAGCTACATTAAAAGTATAGATGTAGCACTAATGGGTCGGCTCGACCGGGGAAGGGCCACGCTCTCACAGAATACCAGCGATTTTTTTTTCAGCGAGAATTGTATCACAAAACAAAGCAGCTTAATGCTGCTGTGTTTTGTATGGTGAGTGTAGAGAACCGGAGACCTTTTTTGTACTGAAAACGAGGCATTCCAACTCAATCCTCACGACTGACAACGCATCTGCATTTTAATTCGTAATCGAGAATAGATGTAGATACATAGGCGGTCCCATAATGAATTGGCCTAACTATGAACCAATGAAGGAAAATGAAACGAAACCAATTTTATTTTTCAATATAATCACCATGAATACTAACACACTTCTGACATCCGTGAATCAACATCTCTAAACCTTTATAAAAATAATCACATTTTTTATCCTCAAAATGACTGAAGACGGCCGCCTGCAACTCTTCATCGCTTGAAAATTTTCTTCCTCTTAAGTCCCGCTTTAAATTTGGAAATAAATAATAGTCGGACGGGGCCATGTCTGGACTGTAAGGTGGATGTTGAACTTCTGTGAACCCGCATTGACGAACTGCATCCTTCGAAACACCAGCGGTATGAACAGAGGCCTTGTCATGGAGCAACAGGACACCTTTAGACAGCTTGCCTCTTCGTTTTTCCTTTATCTTGTCTCGTAATTTATATATTAAAGAAGCATAATATTCGCCGTTCACGACTGTATTACGTTCTTTAAAATCCACCATCAAAATGCCTTGAAAATCCCAAAATATTGTGCACATCAGTTTTTTAGTCGATTGTTGCACCTTTGCCTTTCTAGGGGGCTTTTCACCCTTATAACGCCATTCCATTGACTCGCGCTTGCTTTATGGATCATAATACAAGATCATAGTTTCATCACCAGTCACTAGCCGCTCGATCACAGTCTTTGGATTTTCGCCACAAAGATCCAAAAACTCCGAAGTGCAGCGCACTCTTTCCTGTCTCTGTACCGCTGAAAGAAGTTTCGGTACCCATCTTGCACTCACTTTTTTCATGTGAAGATGTTCATGGATCGCACGATGAACGGTACTCTTACAGAGCCCAAGCCTTGCTGCAATTTCTCTAATCTTCAAACGGCGGTCACTCAGAACCTACTCTTCGATAAGAGCAATCGTTTCGGGAGTGAGCACTTCCACAGGTCGACCGTCGTGGCCAAAGTTTTCGACGGTTTCTCTCCCGAGGCTACACTCTTTCACCCAATTTTTCACTGTGCTATAGGAGGGGGCAGACTCCTTATACACGCCATCCAATCGTTCTTTTATTTGGGCAGGGGATAAACCTTATTTAAACAGAAACTTTATGACACTTCGATACTCAGTTTTCGACATTTTGAAAAAAATACGCGACTCTCGTTATTCAAATGCCTGTTAAACTAAGACTAAGCATTTCATGTCGATGCATGTTTCTTATATTAAGTGCACGATAAACGTACTATTTAATGCAACACAACATGTAGCGACATGTCGCGTTGAACTATATCAGGCCAGTTCATTATGGGACCGCCTGGTATCTATCGGCCACAGTAACCACTTACCATCAGGTGGACTGTGTGCTTGTTTGTCACCCTATCCTATAAAAAGTATTACAAATAAAAAGGTAATTAAGCATAGCATACTGTTGACGTTGATAAGCGTGCCGTCTGGGCCGGCTATGGGCGCAGCGGAGGAGCGCAATGCGATGATAGTGGTGGCTTGTAGCTCGCCCGGCATTACCGCCCACTGCACCACGCGACCGTCACCCGACACCGAGAAGAACGATGCCTCGCCGTCGATGAGTCGCGCTCCCCAGCGGACCTTTATTTGAATTAATGAAAATTACACATTAAGGGGATATAGTAATTCAGCTCAAATTCTAATTTCGTCCCCACTTGCCCGCGCGTCATATGCTATGTACCGACATGTTTGTAATCACTAATACTGTAAGTAGAAAGGTCGTTAGACACTTATTTCATTAGGTTTATCATATTTATGCCTGTTTCTTAACGCCAAGCCAATCGCTTCTTATTTTTATTACGGTTATTTCCCATTTTAATTTTACGTCGTCCTGTTGCGTAATGTATATTCTGATCGTAAGCGACACAACCTCCCCCTTCAAAGGCCGAAGCGAAGTGACCGGCCGGCAGGAATCACGCTTCAAGAGACCGATAGTTTAGGTAATTTCTTTTTACAGTGAAAATAATGGTATTTTAAAAAAGTAAATAACATAAGCACTGCTTTATAGTTAGTTCAGTTAGTATGCAAAGTTTCATGATCTTATTTAAAGTATTTTATGAATAACAGCGGTTTATTGTTTATTTTGGAGGTAACTTTGGATTTTTTTCTATCGAGAAAATTTTATGAAATCGTCTTTTGGTCTAACATAATCCTTAACATTAATCCTCAACTTTACCATATATTTATTTCAAAATTAATGATGCAATACATGCAATATTTTCGGCATAACGAAGAATCTTGCTAAGGCATTTGAGATTATATTTCCCCTTAAGGAGTATATGAGGCCCTTGCGATCGACAGATTTTAGCTGCAGTGCGAATGGGTCGGCTTGACCTAGTACTTCTTCATAGTTTGTGGACTCGACCTGGGACGGATTACGCCCTCACAGAATGCCTGCGTAAAATATCAGCATAATACTGCTGTAAGTCGTGAAGTGAGTGTATGGAACCGGAGACCCTATTAACTGGTTACGCGCCATTTTGGTCCTCAGGGATGACAACGCATTTGCAATTTGACACTTAATCGATGAAAATGTCTTTGAGTCGCAGCATCTCTTTACCATCAGGTAGACTGTGTGCTCCTGGAAAAGATGAAAGTATTTTCATTGTTTGTTCATTTGTTTCATTTAATTATTTTAGTCTGTATTTGTTGAATGCAAAAATATCGAATTGCGCGAACGTCAAAGTGAGGAAACCGCAATCGAAATAAAAACGAAAACTAAAAAAGAAATAATTTATCAGACAAAGGCTGGGGATGTGGCATGTACAGTGTCGGTAACCACATCCTTTCTTTAATTCTTTATAATGCAATTAATGTTCTAGAGAGCGTGTCTTTAGGTAGGATCGTTTGTTAAAACCAACAGGCCCTTACTCTTAATCTGTAAAATGTTACGACAAATAATTGTTTATTATTGTTAGTAAATAGTACATAAGTAAAGTTATAGTAGTAATGTGAGGAGGAAAAAAGAAATTAATATTTAATATATTTTAAGTACAAAATTCAAGTTTTTTTTTTTAAATTAAACAGAAGCTAGATTTGTAGGAAGTGCATGCTAACATGAGACGCCGTTAAAATAGTCCTTAAGGTGGGTCTACGCTAGAGGAGCCGAGCACCAGCTGAATATAAGGTGAGCCACTTTACTCGCGGTGTCAAGTGTGGACGTTCAACGAGCCTAGAAAATGCAAATCGATGTATGCGATGTAAATCACTTTGTGTTCGAGCACGAACCAAACGCTCAAAGCGCGTTCGTTCGAGGCTTGTAAGTCAGTCCATACTACACGAATTTGTGCTCGGCTCATGCTCCGCTCGTGCTCGGCTCGTCTAGCGTAGACGAGCCGACCCACCTTTAGAAAATAAACGCATAGGCAGCAATTGTAAAGCTAGACTGAATTACAGATTTTCAAATAGAATTCATATTACAAATACCATTATTCTTTATCACTTTTCACGACGTTTTGAATTTAATTTTCCGTTAAATTAACGAGTTAACGTAGGTATGCTCAACTTCTCCATGTCTCCTCAACTTGTATTTAAACTTGTTTGTCTAGAAGGAAGCGAGATGGTCATCAGCTATTCTGCTAACGAATTTTCATAATATTTTATATTTAAAGTGTAATTATAGGAGTGCATTTCAATTTATTTCTAAAATAACATAATAATAGTTAGAAAAATGAGAGTAGGAACTCGTTGACCACTGCAGCGTTGAATCTAATGTAAACCGTTTAAGTATGCACGTTATATGCAATCGTTAACGTGTTCTCTAGTTGACGTTATCAATTTTAATCATCTAGTATGAGGCTTTGAGATCTTTGGGTGATGAGGGCATCCACGATTGTATCTGCCACCTAGTCAGTTCCAGTTTAAGCGTGTTACACTACGCAGATACGACGTACGTACACAGATACGAACATATCTGTATCTGAGCGCATATCTTTCAATATCGCTCTATACGAAATTCAATGAACTAACACACACGGCGCAGATAATTTATATTTTATCGTTAAATATATGTAAGCTCCGATATTAATCAATACCGACAACCGACAATATTATCTGCTCATACAAATATATCTGCAGATTTTTCACAAGTCCACTGCTGAACATAGGCCTCCCCCAAGGTATGCCACAAAGCACGGTCCTGAGCCACCTGCATCCATCGACTTCCTGCATGTCTTACCAGGTCGTCACTCCATCTAGTGGGGGGTCGCCCTACACTTCGCCTACCGGTACTAGGCTGCCACTCGAGAACCTTTTTTCCCCAACGGTCGTCGGTTCTTCGAGCTATATGGCCGGTCCATTGCCACTACAGCCTAATAATCAGTTGGGCTATGTCGCTCACTCTGGTTCTACTGCAGATATCCTCATTTATAAGTTTATCGCGCAGAGAAACTCCGAGCATAGCCCTCTCCATAGCTCGCTGAGAGACTTTGAGCGTCCCCATACGACCAGCAGTGAAGGACCACGTCTCGGTTCCGTAGGTCATCACTGGCAACACGCACTAGTTGTACAACTTAGTCTTCAGGTTTTGAGGTATACCTGACGAAAAGATGTGTCGTAATTTCCCGAACTCTGCCCAGCCGAATTGAATCCGTCGATTGACCTCTCGGTCGAAGTTAGACTTACCTAGTCGGACTATTTGTCCCAGGTAAACGTACTCGTCAACAACTTCGAGCTTAGTGCTCCCAACAACTACCGGCATAGGTGTGACATGGACATTAAACATGATCTTTGTTTTGTCCATGTTCATCTTAAGACCTATCCGTTGGGAGGCACTATTGAGGTCATTGAGCATAGTGCTTAAGTCCTCCAGCGATTCTGCCATAAGGACTATATCGTCGGCAAATCGAAGGTGAGTGATGTACTCGTCATTGATGTTAATACCGTATCCTTTCCAGTCCAATAGCTTGAAAACGTCTTCCAATGCAGCGGTGAAGAGTTTCGGAGAAATAACGGCACCCTGTCTTACACCTCTCTGCAGTTGTAATCTGGTTCTGTATTCAGATAGCCATCGTAGCCCTACTGTACAAACACTTCAGCACTTCGATATACCAATAGTCGACTTGGCACCGCTGAAGAGACTGCAGCACCGCCTAAATTTTGACGGAATCAAAGGCTTTCTCGTAGTCCACATACGCCAGGCAAAGTGGCAGATTGTACTCTTCGGACTTCTGTACAATTTGCCGAAGGGTATATATGTGGTCTATGGTACTAAAGCCTTTTCGGAAACCGGCTTGTTCGGGAGGCTGGAAGTCGTCGAGTCTGCGTGCGAAACGATTCGTAATGACTCTCGAAAACAGCACGTAGACGCGGCTCAGATGATAGAGGGATATCGGTCTGTAGTTCTTTAAGAGAGCGTTGTCGCCTTTCTTAAAGAACAAGACCACCGCTTCTGCTCCACGCCTCCGGAGTAGTTCCACCATGGAGATCGGAATTAAAGAGCCTCTGAAGGACTTCAAGTACCGGTTTTCAGAAGCTCCGCTGTAATTCCATCCTCGCCTGGAGACTGACTGTTTTTAAGCTGCTGGAGAGCCATTCTAATCTCGCTCAGACTGACGTCCGGGATATCATCGGAATAGTGTCGGATAAGACTTGCTCTTGGATCGTTACTCACACTTGCGTGTGGCTCCAACGATGATGTGTACAGCTGCCCATAGAACCTCTCAATCTTACTCAGAATCTCAGGTGTCCCGGAAACGATGCTGCCACACTCAGTCTTCAGCTTTGACAGTTGGCTATTACTGGCAGACAGATCTCTGGCAAAGACTTTGGAGCCCTGGTTCCGCTCGATCGCTTCTTCAATACGAGCAGTATTAAAGTTGCGCAAGTCTCGCCGCATGCAAAGTCGGCCAGCTGCTGGCCCCTACGGTTCCGTTGCCCTACTCCAAATTTCCCTAACTTCAGCTCACCGCACCGGTATTTTCATTTTATGGACTGTTAGTTGATCCAATAAAATACGTATGCTGCATGAGATTCTAAATTCTGTGCAGACGTTTTTAGTGCTTTTTCGCAATTGCAATTTTTGTTAATCAAAAAAGTTAAGTAAATCTGAACCTCCCTGGTGATTGTGGTCAAGCACTGGCTTATAAAGGTAAAAGTAAAAAAACTTCTAAAAAACCACAAACCATATTTGCAATTATTGACAACAACGATCAGCAATAACTATGGCACCAGATGGCAAGAAGCACTTCATTATTATGTTTCTTCTGTAAGGCTATGCTATTGTTACGGGCACTGTTCGGTTTGAGCATCCGGTCGTGGCCTACGATTGTCGTCCAATTAGCATCGCAATTAGGGCTGCCAGGTCTTTAAACCGAAAAGCCGGACAGACCATCCAGCTTAGCCGGACATTTTGGCCGCAGCATTTAAAAAGGCCGGACACCCTTGGTTATTCAGTCTTAGTATATAACACAATAATATATTTTTTAAAGTAAAACAATGCTTATATCATTTACCATAAAATCTTAAATTCTAATGAAAAGACAATAAAATTGAATGAATCAGTGTTCTTTATTATTAATAATTCAATATTAATTTCAATAATTGCAATAGTGTGTATTTAAGTACATGAAAAATGTAAAAAAATGGTCAAATATAAAAAGCCTAACAAAATCCAGATAAGCCGGACACCGTCTAATTTGGCCGGACACGCAATCAAAAAGCCTGACTGTGTCCGGCTTAATCAGGGCGTCTAGCAACGCTAATCGCAACAAACGATTCGACTTAAAATTCCTATATTCCTTATTTTTACGTAATAGAGCCAAGCTGCATTTATACAAACTAAAAAAAATATTGCAGTCTAGTTATAAATTAATGGTCAAGATACTTACTTCCCACACTATATTGCTATGTTTGTCCCGCACGGAATCCGATTTGTACTGGTAAGAAGACTCCAAAGTCAATTGTGCGTTATACACACATACGTTACCGTCGTACCGTCCTACGAAGGAGAGGAATTTATGCAAAACGTTATATACGAAGAGAAGTAAACACAAATAAAAAATAAAACATATTAACGCTGTCATTTGTATAAGTGTTATTTATTTTTAAATATTGTATCATATACTATTACACGAGCAATATTTATATAATTCAAATTCAATTTCAAAATATTTACTGCAAGTTAAGTGGTTAAATTTTAGCGTTAATCTAAAATATGGTGAACCTTACAACTTAACCACCCAGATCTGCGTCCGATCTGCGTAGATCGGACCAAAGACAATAATTAAAAAGCTGAAGGTACTCCGGGTTAACTTTGAAATCGGGACGTTAGTCACCTCAGTCCCCCGTGACCATGGGTGCTGGAAAGCGCCCGAAACGTCGGGAATCAAAAATAAAAGTAAATAAAAAGTAAAAATAAACGCGATAAAATCCGTAAAAGTAGTTTAAATCATTTTATAATTTTTTAAAAATTTTAACGAGGCGTTCCATCTCAGTCCTGTGGGGTAACAACGTATCTGCTTTTTGATTCTTAAGGGGATATAGTAACTCAGCTCAAATTCTAATTTCGTCCCCACTTGCCCGCGCGTCGTATGTTGTAAGTACCGACATGTTTGTAATCACTAATACTGTAAGTAGATAGGTCGTTAGACACTTATTTCATTAGGTTTATCATATTTATGCCTATTTCTTTACGCCAACCCAGTCGCTTCTTATTTTTATTGCGGTTATTTCCCATTTTAATTTTACATCGTCCTGTTGCGTAATGTATATTCTGATCGTAAGCGACACAACCTCCCCCTTCAAAGGCCGAAGCGAAATGACCGGGCGGCAGGAATCACGCTTCAAGAGGCCGATAGTTTAGGTAATTTCTTTTTACAGTGAAAATAATGGTATTTTAAAAAGAGTTAATAACATAAGCACTGCTTTATAGTTAGTTCAGTTAGTATGCAAAGTTTCATGATTTTATTTAAAGTATTTTATGAATAACAGCGGTTTATTGTTTATTTTGGATTGGATTTTTTTCTATCGAGAACATTTTACGATATCGTGTTTTGGTCTAACATAATCCTTAACATTAATCCTCAACTTTACCATATATTTATTTCAAAATTAATGCTGCAATATTTTCGGCATAACGAAGGATCTTGCTAAGCCATTTGAGGTTATATTTCCCCTTAATCTAGGATAAATGTAGATGTCTATGGGCCACATCATCCACTCACCATCAGGTGGACTGTGTGCTCGTTTGTCACTTTTATAATAAAAAAAAACATTTATTGAAACATAATAATAAATACAGAACAATGGATCTTTAATTAAAGTCTTAGGTCCTGAAGTTGGGTTACCTCCCATCGGACTATAAGAGCGAGATAGAGAGTGTGTCTGTCCTGCGCAGATGGCTAGTATCCGCTGGCCACCGTGACAGATATTTGGTATGCAGGACATTATTAGAAATGATTTGCCATTATTAGACAATGCTGCTCGTTTCCGGTCCAGGTAAACGTCCCCTATGTACCCATGGGACAAACTTGTAATGGATACGTCACCACCACACATAAAAAGTTGCAATATTTGTGTTGCTTTATTAAGACGACACATCGAAAACGCTATCGCCGTACTGAACCGAGTTAATACATAATTTCTATAAAAACTTGAAGAAACACCGTCATAAGGTCTAAAATTGCGTGGCACCCGTCAGAATCTTAAAATATTTTTTAAAAAATTATTGATTTAAGTTATCCAAATAATGAGCAACTAAATTATGAATATTGTTGTTATGAATATATTTGAGTGATTCCCAAACATATAGATCAAATGATTTCGTTGTAATTTCAACTATAGTGATTTTTTAGAAGTGTTATCTATCGCAAATAATTATGACCGAGTCAAAATTATACAATCGTGTTTTTGAGCAATCAAATTCAAGATAATGACATGAATTTACCTATATCAAAATCCCACTTTCATTAGTGGTGTCATAGTCCTATACTATTCGATGTAAGGAGGTGCATTTTTTCACGGTGTCGCTTTAAGATGAACATAGGCCTTTACAAACCTACGTAATCAGGTACATGTACGGTGCTCTAAGAGGTTGGTATGAAAAGTGACCTTTGCATTACCAACCGAAATTTTAGGTTCAAGATTTCGTTTCACACGATAAAGCATCACATTAGAGCGAGTTCGGTATTTAGAAAAAAGTTTTTTGTATTTATTTTTAATCATGCGATGGTGATGATTGAGATGCCCTTTCAAAATACCAGGAAGGGTATTTTTAACCACGGGAACGTATATTTGTAAGTTAAAAGTAAACCAGCGGTGAGATCATATTTTTTGTGAATATTATGTTAACTTTTGACTAATTAAATTATTTGACTTACCTACACATACCAGATACGGTGTTTCTTTGTATACATCAAGACATATAATTGGAGATTCAGTTATGACTGAGTACTCGGGGTATGCTGGATTTTTTATGCTATATAAGCACAGACAACCTTGCTTCTGCTGTTGTGTGAAGTCAACTGTGGAAAATTCGAATACAAAGTAAATTTTTTTCAATCAGATTTCATCAATTTTTGCACGCACGCACACACGCACGCACGCTCGCGTGCACGTATGTTGTATGCACGCTCGCACACACGCATATTTTGCGAAAATAAACAACGATCTTTTAAATAATATACTTATATTAACAAATCGATTTAATAGCTGTAGATTAAAATAAGATAATACTCGTAGTCGTATAGGTTTGAAAAACTACGGCTCTTTATTTTGTGCTACGGCTAACTGCTCTAATGCTCTTTGTAAGTGTGTGAGAATTAACTTATATAATGTATGGTCTGGTGTATAGCTATAGTCTGATCTTTTAATGACAAGTAAAAATATTTGTGCCATGATGTAGAATAAACAAATATGAAATTAAAACATAAGAAAATCATATAATTTTAAACTCTATTGAGGCAGCCTTTTGTGATAATATATTTCACATACACACACATAGGTATGTATATATATGATTCATAGAAATATGAGAAAATATTGAAAGTTTAATTTGTACATTTTGACTCTTATGTACAAACTACACTGGACTTAGAACAAACTAAAGTATCAGTTTCCTCATTAACACACGAGACTGATAACGTACGCAATATTAACTACAGTTATGAGTTTACCATACAAATCAAAAACTTTTTATTTAGGATATTAGACATGCCTTGACTTCTAAAATATTTCGGGAAATCAATTAGTTGGTTTCAAATCGTGTTAAAAAAAAAGAAATTATTTAATTGGTTCTTTGAATTTCCGACTTTCATAAGCTTAAGGGTACACTAGTCGCTCATTCTTCCACACAAACGTAGTCTGGCGATTACTCCACTCTTTGATGGTGTACGTTCAAAATAAAAAATGATCATTTTGTCTTATCGTTATTTAACCCTGTATGGAAACAAAAAAGTAAAAAAGAATATATTTAAAAGTACTAATTTTAACACATTTTTGGGCGAAAAAAAAAACCATAAGAAGAACGAATAATTGCAAAACAGTTACCATACAGGGATAGATTAGTTATTCAAAAGTGTAAATAATTTTATTTTGAACAGATACATTCAATAGATTTTTCGTGATATCCAGATTCCCAAAGATCTGTTTATAAAATTTCGCGCGCTCGTCATGCCTTCATCATCATCATCATGCCTTTCGCTTTCCCACGTGATGTCAGCTGAGATAGTTATAGAGCATTTTAACCCCGCCCACCACTTAGTTCGTGCCATCGACTAGGGCCACCTTAAAGAATAAAAATGATGTATACGTGATCCATAAGCTACAGCAAATAGGTCTTGGTAGTGCGGATTCCATTGCAGGTCGCAGACGGCGTGGCTTCGCATCGGTTCGAACTGGAACTTCCACAGCGGCAGCAGTGAGCCCATTCCCTCACGGAACTCGTCCGAAGGGTCGTCCCAATAACGGTAGTCCTGCGCTGATAACCCATAAATAAAATTATGATAAGTTTTTCACCAATTCTGATAATATTTTATTATAGTGAATAGCTGATTGAATAATATATCCGACATTTTTTTTATAGGATAGGGTGACAAACGAGCACACAGTCCATCTGATGGTAAGTGGTTACTGCGGCCCATAGACCAATAGATGACTGTCACCCGTGAGGACTAAGATGGAGTGCCTCGTTTCCAGTAAAAAGGGTCTCCGGTTCTCTACACTCTCCATACGAAACACAGCAGCATTAGGTTGCTTTTTCACGGTGGTATTCTGTGAGAGCGTGGTCCTTCCCCGGTCGAGCCGACCCATTGGTGCTACTACTATACTACTAATATAACTGCAGCATGGCTCTACCACGTATAAAACATTATTATTAAAACATTATATATTTGTAATGAATTGTCGACGAAAACTGATACACTGCATTCCAATATTATTTTGAGAAGATTTATTACTTAATTTTGTGACGAATAAGATATTTTAATTATAATAATATTCTTACGAAGAAAGTACCTTGACGAAATAATCATTATTTGTAATACTTACATTCCGTAAAAAACTATTCTATTTAATTTTAAATGCAAAATGAGTTTTAAGGTTCTTAGTAATTAGAAGTCGCTTTTTGGTTCGTAGGCTATTTTCGTCAAATTATATGCCTATTTAAAAAAAACATTGGGCAACTGTAATTTCCCAAGACTGCAACAGTTGAGCATGTTTTGGGAGACCTTATTTTTTTATTACTAATCAAAAGTACTTCATCAGGTGATGTAATGGTGATTATATCTTTCTGGCCGATTGCAAATAGCGCAGAAGAAAAATTCGAAAGAAGGATAATACTATTAGCTGTAGTAGCTTAGTATTTATGGATGTAGGAATAGTAGGAAGAGTTTTTTAGTTCGAGTACATACCGATGTCGTCGTAAATATTTTGATTGACTAGGCGTTCTAATATAGCCCAGGCCTCACGGATGCGCTGTGCCAGTTGTTCTTCGTGTATTTGCTGCGCAGATTTTGCGCGTTTCGTCGTTTTCTTGCGAAGCTGAAAAGATACACCAGTGAATAAGTTTTATTCATCCAATTTGAATATTGTATTCATATTAAGTCTAATGAGTGAATAACTGAATATACCCTTTTTGGTTTTTCTTCCTCTTTCTCACGCATTTTTTTAGCATAGTCCTCTTGATAGTAGTCAAATATAATGCATTGAAGAGCAGTTGAACCGTAGTTGGCTCTCGGTGGTGGGACAGTTTGTGTTTCTACGGACTGGTAAAAAAAAATTAAAACTCACAGCTTTTTTCGTATTTAGAAAATGTTATGGGTAATGTTTAATGATACGATCAATTTTGTGTGTTCCAAATACAGTTTGTGACGGAAAAGGTTTTGCTCGAAATTTTCTGCCAGATAACAACTGGGGTACAGGATTGTTCTTCTCTAAATCTAATGTCAGTTACTCTTGTATGCCCAGCGGATCAGTAAGTGGACAAGTGAGTAAGTGACGTTGGGTCGGCCATATAATTCAAAGAACCGATAACCAATGGGGAAGAGAGGTTCCCTAGTGGTAGCCTCGTACCGGCAAGCGCAGCGTTGGGCGACCCCCCACTAAATTGTGTGAAGATTTCTTGAAACGTGTAGGCAGTATTCGATTGTTGGACTTTGTGGAAATCTATGGGAGTAGCTTTTGTTTAGCATCTCACTTTAGATGGGCTGTAGCGACAGTGATGGTTAAGCTAAAAAAGTTCTCATAGCTTTTTTAAATTGAATTTATATAAGGAGAAGCTTTTGTTTAGCATTGGAATTATTTTGATGGGCTGTAGTGATAGTGATAGTGATAGTGATGCTATAAAAGTAGGTACTACTAGATTTTTAAATTGAATTTATATAAGGAGATGCCTTTGTTTAGCATTGGAATTTTGATGGGCTGTAGTGATAGTGATAGTGATACAATAAAAGTACTACTAGATTTTAAATTTAATTTATATAAGGAGATGTCTTTGTTTAGCATTGGAATTTTGATGGGCTGTAGTGATAAACTTTGTACTACTCAGATTTTTAAATTGAATTTATATAAGGAGATGCCTTGGTTTAGCATTGGAATTTTGAGGGCTGTAGTGATAGTGATAGTGATGCTATAAAAGTACTACTAGATTTTTAAATTGAATTTATTTAATGAGAGGCCTCTGTTTAGCATTGAAACAGGCTGTAGTGATAGTGGTAGTGATACAATAAAAGTACTAATAGGTGTTTTAAATTCAATTTATGCAATAAAACTGGAGAACTACAAAAGCCTTAGAATGGATAGATTTATAGGAACCGAACACCCAATAACTGACAGTATGCTTTTATTTCATTTAATTATAAGGGATGCTAATGTAGATATATTTTGCTGTAGTTTTAAGTGCCTGACCATATAGAGACTGTAAACAGTAACAAGAATGGATTTTGTATGTATTTAAGCACAGAAAGAAACTGAAAAAACAGAAGAAAATTGAAATGTACAACTTACTCGGCGGGGGTAGATATATGTGAGAGCAGCACGTTCACAGAAGTTGAATTGATTAGCTAGCTTCTTGACACGTGGTTTTATATTAAGCACTTCCTCGTCATAATCATCGGCTTGTTCAGGTACTACTAAAATTTGATTTTGAATATCTTGTGAAATTGATATATCACACATTTTTTACTGTGTACAAAATAACATTTCTATAATATATATTTTTGTATATAAATACAATATTTGAGAATTTTCTTATCGTTAATTTCGACAAATAATAAGATTCCACTGCTTGTACGCTATTAAAAATCATATTATCAACAATATTGTGGAATTATTTCCATTTAATGAAATCAAATTATCATCGTTATCAAGAAACTTTTAAGAACACTGTTAATTGTAATTTAGTTAAAAAGAGATATTTCATGCATTAGATTTATAGTTTTGGATAAATAAAGTATAAAGTCATACTCTCTTCTGGCTCAGCTTCCTCGGCATTTTCTGCGCCTACTTCCGTTTCAGTTACTGAAGGTGCCTCTGTGGGTTCTACAGATGGTTCCCTTTCTTCATATTTTTCCTCTTCGCCGAGTGCTTCTTCTGTAAAAGGTTTTAGTAAAAAATGCCACCCACATTGCGAAGGTCAACATTTCATTCATCATTAAAAAATGACGTTATCTGATTATAATTCCATACATTATAATCATAGCTATATTTTAGTAGAGATATACAAGAAGAAATATGTTTGAATTATCTTCAAATGTTAACCACGCGTTCATATCGTACATCCTGCCGATTACAGTGTTATTGAGTGCTGAGGTTTTGGCGATCGAGTGGTAATAGAAAATTCAACCGAAAAGACTCAAGGATGTCAGGTTCTGCGCTTGATACTAAATGATTTTCTAGGTTACTTTTGATGCGATAAACTAAAATCATTTACTTTTTTGCATGTACGTAAAATTTACATAGTATTACGCTCATCATTTTTAACGTCACCATAAATGTAATTTTCAGATGTGCCCGTTATCAAATGACAAATACGGTTTAAGTATTAAAATACGAAATTGCCATACCTTCAGCTCTAGCTTCTTCAGCCGGTGTTTGTTCAGCTTCAGGTTCTTCTTCTTCTTCTTCTTCCGCTGCAGCAGATTTTTTTACCTTCGCACGTTTCGGTCCAGCATCATCGAATCCGACCATACCTATTGTACAATGTTATAAAAATGCAATAAGAGCTTTTGTAAAAACATGTTGTAGGGAAATAGGAATCTAAATATACTCGATACAACTGGCTGGCTACAATCCTGGCTTTTTTCTAGGTGCTTTTATGTATTTAGTCCAAGAATACTTAAATGACCAAGAGGTTTTTAAATTTTAACTGTATTTGTAGCTTTTCTGTATTTACTTTATTTTATGACTTGAATAATTTGACATAAAATACTATACAATTTATAAACGATGACATGTAATGTTCTGTCTGTGACTCATGTTTAATATTAGTTTTCTGTTTAGTCTATTAACTTATTTTTAGCTCTAAGTAGATTAAAATGTAACTACTTTCAAATTTGCATGACAATCATAAGTCAAACATGAGGACGTACCATTATGTTTACATCTTTGCACAACCATATTTAAAACAAATAAAAAATTCTGATTTATGATTTCTGATATATAAAAAAAAGATAAAGGTTAACTTAAGAGTCGTGGTACCCTATGGGATGAGCACTCGCATTTCCTCATCGAGCGAGTAAACTGAATTCGACCGAACTCCTGCGTCTAAAACTCTCTCACAAATTAGAAGAGGCCCGCGGGTAGCCATATAAATATTTGTGGTACAAGTATCTGGCTAATTGATTTTTCTATAGAATAAGGGTGACAAAAGACCAATCGTAAATGAATGCTGTGACTCAAAAAACATCACATCTATCCTCGACTAAGAATCAAAATGCAGATACGTTGTGTTCTTTCAGAACTAAAATAGAATGCCTCATTCCCTGTAAAAAGGGTCTCCGGTTCTCTATATTATACCAAAAAAAATATAGCAGCTTAAGTTGCTATTTCACGCTGGTATACTCTGGAAAAGCGTGGCTCTTCCCAGTTCGAGCCGACCAATTTCCACTACAACCATATTAAAGCTGTAGTATGGTTCTACCAATAAAACGTGAATAACTTGTACAGTTATGATATTTTCTTATGAAAAATCACATACATAATTTATAAAATTAGCGTAAAATAGTAGCTTAATGCTGTGTTTCGTATGGTGAGTATAGAGAACCGGAGAGCCTTTTTACTGGAAACGGGGCATTCCATCTTAGTCCTCACGGGTGACAACGCATCTGCATTTTGATTTGTAATCGAGGATAGATGTAGATGTCTATGGGCCGCAGTAACCAGTTACCATCATGTGTACTGTGTGCTAGTTTGTCACCCTATCCTATAAAATAATAATAATTTATGAACAAAGAAACGTTATCAATATGCATTTATAATTTATACATACCATAACCTGCAGCTATTTGCGCTTTAGCTTCGTCTGAGTCCTTGCGGATAGCTGTGCCTTGATAAACGTAGAGAGGATAAGCTTTGCCGAATGTGGGTTTTGATTTAGCTACAAATCGACCCTGGCCATAGTGAAAAGCTACTTCGTCCGGCACCCATTGTGGATTAATTGTTGTTAGTACTCGACCGATTTCTTCTTCAAGCTCCTAAAATGATTACTTATTTATAATAGCTACAACAGAACTTCGCCTAATGGCGGCGGCGTGAGAAAATCTATTTCGTCACGTGGGTTTCGTAAAATACGACTATGGGTAATTCCAGAAAAATGATTTTCGTTGTGTATTAACGCATATATTATTACTACTTTCGTGAGCTAATCCATTTAAACGATACCATAAAAAATAATTTAAAAATAAGGCAACAATAGAACTACGAGAATCATGAAATTTTTTGACTTTTTGTTGTATTTTAACATTGTTTTATATATACTATGTGTGTGCTTATATGTTTTTCTTACTGCCTCTGGTACGTTTTCTTGATCTTCGGGTTTGATGAGCACGCGTGGTTTCAGCCACTCCAAAGCTTCATCATCAATAAGATTGGCGCGGGACTTTGTAGAATCTTTCTGCTAAACGAACAACAATTACGACTGTGCAAAAATATATTTTTAATATACTAGAGCTATACGCCACATATTTGCATAGGAATATCTAATTAATATAATTGCCTACATCTAAACGTTGCAAGGTCTCCTCCAGCAGCGCTTTCTCACTATCTATATTAAGTGCACGCTTAATCATAGCCTTCAACATTTTAATTAAAAAGATTTATAAGCAAAATAACTAAAGCACGAAAGCACAGAGTCGCAACAAATCAAGTACTGCAAAGTCTTCTAAACGTTTAAGTAGTTTGATTTACGAGTAAAATACTCCAGACATTTGCATGATTTTATTATTTGATGACAGGTCTTTATTAGCGTCGATCATGTAACGTGGTTATAAATAGGCATTTTAGGTAAGCGAAGCAAGCGTAAACAAATAATTAAAGACTGCTCGCAGCCTTTAACCATTTATTTATTTTTTAAATTACGGTAAACTTAACCGAAGAAAGTGATGTGTCGGAACACAAGGAACAATCGTCAAGACTCATTATTTATAAGAAGTCACAATTAAAATGATTGTAAAATTTTGCCATTTTCTTTAGTCACCGGTACAGTCGTAAAACAAACTGCACTGGATTGGTTTAAAATTACCGTAGTGTTAATGCAGTACCGATAGGAAAAATTATTTGTTGATTGGTAGGTTTTAAAAATAAAAATTACTCTCTTGTGTATTTATTATTATATTCATTTTGACTGATTGATTGATTTTAACTGATTTCCATTTTAGTGAGTACTAAAAGGGTCATAAAACAAGAGAACACAAAACCTATTTAAATCATTGACTTATATATTACTGAGCAATTTAAACCCATTCGGTTACAATGAAGAAGTCAAAAGTCTATTTAAGTTTATATCCCTAAACATAATGACAAACTGAGATTTAATGTTTCTATTTGCTGACCGTACAAAGCTATTTCCCGTAGCGGGCGTGTCACCAAATTCTAATTAGTGTCCGTATCAGGCATAAGCTAGTACAAAGGCGACGCCAGTGCGGTGTTGTGAAAGCAGATATATTTAAATTAGCTCCAGTACACGGTGGATCATTTACTTTTTGCTCGTGGCTGATCGTGACTAAAAATAACTAAGATTTTAGGCAAAGAAACAATTTCACTGACGTAAATTATATAGACATTTTAGGTTTTCTAGAAAAATTATAATGCCGACTATATTTAATAGGTTTAATTGGGTATGAGTGGTTGTTTTGTCTGCATAACTGAATATGTTCGAGCTTGTCAACTCACTCGTAAGTATTATTACAAGGTTATTTTTCAAAGAGCAGCCAAAATTTAAACTTAAGTTCAAATATATAAATAATGATATACCGTTATTGCAGTTTTTTAAAATATGAGTAAATAAGTCATCTTTGTTTATTTGAAATTATCCCAAATAAATGTGATTTATGGGCTACAACGTTTTTGCCTACCGATCGACCCTTACGAATGTGTAAAATCAGTTAAAATAATGCATTATCACGCATTTCAAATTTAAAAGATAAGGGTTGAACGTTTGAGATTTTTTTAAATAAATTTTTCTTCACTATTTGCCTATATTACTTATTCTGAACCTTCTCTGCCGATTATTACAAAATAACCCAGTATAAAAGAAAACGTTTTATAATTTAAACACACCTATTATGTTTGTCAATGAGGCAGAGTAAAATACTATTTGCTATTTATGTTTTTAGGGTAGATTTATCAATCATCAGATAAAAGTTATTCGTAGGCTAGGTTTAGACTTTTACTATACGAGTATGTATAAACTTAATAGATAAGAAGGATAAATGTTTAATTACGATTCTGCGATCTGCGGGTTCGAATTCGCACGGAATACACGGCACGGAACATAATTATTCTGGGTCTAAAAGTTACAGCCCTCCCCTATATATGAAAAACACCAAAGAAAACATCCCACAAAAAAAAAAAAAAAATGCTTGGGGCACAGGCCTCCTCTCATTTTTGAGAGGGTTTTAGGGCCTGGAAATGTTGCGTTTTAAATGGTTATAATGCTAAATATCTTTAACATTTCTAAATATTAGCAATGAAAACGACAGGAAAATAATAAACGAGTTTACGATCTGTTTCCTGCTTAAATACGATATAATACGATTAAATCGCGTGTCGGAAGCGAAAATACAATACTCCGATCGATTGACAACGTTGTCGCTATAGGAACCTTTATCAATGATATATATAGGTCAATTATTTCGGGGTCTATTAAACATTTCCATCTTAAAGTAGAATGGGAACATAATAAAATGAAAAAATTGGTTAACCCTGCAGGCCATCCATGGAACTTCTCGCTAATTTCAAATGCAAAGCGCTCCAAATTCCACCAAATTATGACATTGAATATGAAATAACGGAGTACTCGTAACTTAAAAAAAATCTTAAATTCTTCGTTAACGATATCCCACGGACGAATCAACCGACCAGACCAGACCGGCGGCGGTCGACGTGGTTTTTCAAAGTTAAAGGCTGATTAATTTTTGGAATCGATCGGTAAAGTCGTTTAAAAGTTATTCCAAAAATCCCAATTTTTTTAATTTTTTATTTTGAGAGAGAGGTCACGCCATTCAAAAGTTTTAAGAGGTTTACATACATCCACACACGCACACCCACACGCACACGCACACGTACATGCACACGCACACGCACATGCACACGCACACGCATACGCACACGCACACGCACACGCATACGCACACGACACACGCACACGCACACGCACACGCACACGC